TCCACTATATAGCTGTTCCATTGGTTTTTACCTTACTTTTTGCTGAAGAATGCCTGCCTTAAGGTCTTTCAAACAAAACTTTTTTGATTCTGCAAACATTTTGGAAATTTTTCTGCCAACTGGCAAAGTTTCATAAAATGTTCGCAGAATCTAAAAAGTTTTGTTTGAAAGACCTTATGGCAGGTATAATGATTTTCTCTGATCTGTGGGCCCAAGAAGGTTGGCTAACACTGGACTACAGTACAGTCAACCCCTGTCTAACAGACTTGATTCGTGCAAGGGACAAGTCTGTTAGACAAAAAGTCCTTTACACGAATTCAATTGCATAAAAAATTAAAAATTTCAATTTTCAACACTAATTTTAAACCAAAAGAAGTCTGTTTGGTGGATTTTGTCTGTTGGGCAGGAGGAAAAACTGCTTGCAGAGCTGGTCTGTTCAGCAAAAATCCCTTACATGGGAGGTCTGTTAGGTGGGGGGCCACTGTACAGTGAAACCTATTATACCCATGCACAAATGTGACATATGTTGTTGTACCAGTTTTTCTCTTAACCCCATTCACGTGATGGCGTTTTGGCATTGTACACTTTGCTGGGAAATTATTGAGGCTGTTTGTCTGTAATTACGGTTGTTTCGCAGATGCACAATTTACAGTACACATTTTTTTTAAACCACTCCGTCTGTGTCATCGTCGCAGCTTCTTGGCCGAAAGAGCGATGTACAGAATACAATACACCGAAACCTCTCAACACCGCAAAAAGATTGACAATGCTTGTTACACACGCTTCTTTAACCCTTCACAAGATGTCGCTTTGGCATAGAAAACTTCGCTGGGAAAAAAATATTCAGGCTGTTTGTCTGTCAATTTGGTTGATTTGAAGATGCACAATTTAAAAATGTTTTCTGAAACTATCTGTTTTGATTGAGTGAATCCAATAGATAGATCCAAGTGCAGGGAACAAATGAACATATCTAGAGCAACATAAAAAGCTTGTCTCCAAAGCCATTTGACACAGTTGGCGCATTTGCAAGTGTGCTAACCATGGAAGGTCAACTTTTGCCAGAGGCGCGTGAATGACAAAAATATCAATAAATTTTATCGAAGGTTGTCACGTTATAAAATGCTAAAAACGTCGCTTCCATGACATCGCCACCGAAGCGCAGCGACCCTGAACTGTTTAATGGCGATTTACTTTCTCGACTGTTCCCTTTATTCTCAACAAAAATTCTACTGTGCAATATCAATTTTCGGAATAGTTCTATAATGATTTTATGTCGCGCAATAACTTTCATCCGCGCCTGACATGGACAAGGTTTGACTCCTGTGATTTCTTGTAATCTTCACATGTATTTCATTGTCTTAATTTATTTTCATCTACTTGGGTACCATACACTCTCGTTTAAGGCGCACCTCTCAATTTCTGACAATAAAAATTGTAAGAAAAATCTATCCCTGCAGAAGATATACACCCCCATTTCCTTTGACACAGAATCTCCATTTAAGGAAAGACGAGCGGACATTTGAAAATTGAAATTCGGTCGAACAAAATTTGAATCAATTCTGTGGCATTTGTTTTTTGTTTCGCATTTTCATTTGCCAGTTTGATTTGAGCATAAATTTACATGTGGACTCTTTCCACAACAATATCCTCCAGCAACAAAATTTTTTTGATCCCTTGAATTTTGTTTTAGAAAGAGTCCATCTGTACAAATACTTTTTATTCACACTAGTCACCCAAAAATTAAATTCATTTGACTGCATTTGTTTCAATTATGTGTCACGTGAAAAAACGTTCAAAATTTCCAGAATGTATTCCCAAGTGTGACACGCAGCCCAGTTTTTGAGCTTAATTTTTTGATGAGAAAACGATGCGGTTGGTACTTGGTACTCTTTACACACATGAAATACCCATTGTTTGAAAATCATTCACAGACGATTTTACTAATGACTCCAGCTATAAGCAAGTTTCCTTCTTCCAAGCACAGTCACACAAGAACAAACTAACCAGAACGAATTTCAGTGACTTCGGACCCACTTTCCTTTGAGGTACTGTCGCATGAGAATACGTCGGCCACTCGCCGTTTTCATCCTTGCCTGGTAGGAATGCTGGCGCCTTTTGTGCTCCTTCGGACGAGGGCACCAGTCTCGCGCCGTACGAATTTGCTCAGCAAATGGCAACCCGCTGCCAATTCTTGGCTCTGCCGACACCAACGCCGTCCGAGCCTGGAACAACGCTTGGGACGCGAATGAACGCAAAAAATTCATTGGCCTCTCGATTTCTCCCTTTTTTTCTGCAAAGAACAAATCGGCGAGAATACATGAAATTTGTCCCACTGCACAGTACTATTTTCACCTCGAGAAGTGCACGCACCACAGAAGAAAGAGCGTTTCAGAGAACATGTGAGAAACAGATCGGAACTAAAAATTTCGCTAAAACGCCAAGAATTCTGACAATTTTGCTTTGACGTACTCCGCTGATAAATGCTCACGGAAAAAGCAGCTTATCTTTGAGAATAAGTGTGACAAGGAGACAAAGCACATGGGTACGGTAATCTCATTCAGTTACACATAAGTAGAATATGGAAAAAAAGACCCACATCATGTGTATGTCTTCTTGAACGCATAGAAATTCTAGAAATTTGTAGGTAAGCGAGTAAAATTAAACTATTTGCCCATTCATCTTAGTCATTTGGAGAGAGTCTGATTTCTACACGTAGAATCTCATGTCACACAATATTCTGAGCGAATGTCGGGTGATGCAAACGTTTAAATTTAGGATTGAGAAAATTATTTCCTTCCTCGTTAATATTTTTACAACCTCGATAATGTGGACAACACGCATGATTTGTTTCACTTTTACCAATTTTTTGACACCCAGATGTTGAAAAAATTAACCAAAACCTTTTTTCATTGATTCCCTGGGATTACGATTTGCAAGCATTACTCACAAGGGCAATTGCAAGTGTAAAGCAAAACCGTACCGACGTTGAAAATTGCGGAAAGCTCCATTATTCAATCCAGAGAGCTCAAAAACTTGTTCGAATTGGTTGAAAAGGGTCAAAAAGTTCAACAGGAATGGATACTTGAATTAATGGTGAAAATTATTTTTCCGAACAACCCTCGTCTTATTGCCAATAGTCGGCCAATTTTTGCGGTTCACCCCGTAGCATCCCAAATTTCAAGTCACGAGGCATCTTCTTTTCAACCAAAATTAAATATTCAGTTGAAAATAATTTTCAATGATTTTCCAGACTTGAATACGATAGATGGAAAGATGAATCCTTAGAATTATGCGCGTTCCCTGCAAAAAGTAAAACGCTTTCTTTTAAGGCGCATGCACATCTCCCGATTTCTAACAGCAAAATCAATTTTTGGTTTACAGGAGAATTGCATTTTTAATAACGGCAACAAAATCGACACTCGTGAGTTCCCCAACTTCCAATTTCGCGAGCTGCAAGGAAGGCCGGGTTATTCGAAGCGCCCATGAATCGAATGACTTTCTAAATACATATTAAGCATCCGTTCAAAGGAAGACTCTCGCAATCCACATCATTACAATCTCTCGTTCTCTCAAGCACAACCATACAATCGAGGGACTGAAAAATTACTTTTCCATCTTATCACAGAAGCCGATGAGGGACTGCGCTGGCAAAATTGAGCGGGTCTCGAAACAGCGCGCGTTCAGAACAGCAAGAGTCCACAAAAATTGGAGGAAAAACAGGGTAAGGGAAAAATAACGCTAGTATAGTCAGCACTCGTAAATATCATCCAACTAGATAGGCATATTGGACTTCAGAATCGAACATATGCAATTTATTTCCTGTTTGTGGATGAACAGTACAATCAAACCTCGATAAGCTACCTCCATTTGCTTGTAGGAGTTTAACGGAGTTTGTGGTTCATCAAAAAAGCTGAAATAATATGAAAATTAAGTATAATAGGAAATACAGTACAATTCTTACTCTTCTAGAAAATAATAAGAATAACCCTGCGATGCGTAAATTATATCCAGCTAATCTTCTGATGAAGTACTGTAAGTTACGCCATCTCTGCGTCTGTTACTTATTTATTTATTGGTGACCTCTCGCAGAAACTTAATCTTATTGACGGGCTATCAAAGAAAAAAAAAAAATTGGTAGGAGCATATCTAAGTCGTCAATAATACTGGTGGATGGCGTTCTAATAGGGTATCCAATTCTATCATCATTATGGAAGATTCGTTTTTCAAAATAAATCGGCAATTGCCAGGAGGAGTGGTTGAGGGGCGTCCAAGTGGCATTTGACTGCAGTATTCATGAAACGAAGATGAATGAAGTCAATTTTGCTGTGCATAGAGATGAAACTAACTCAAAGATTGAAATTTTCAACCGAATCCAGAATTAGTTCCTCTGAGGATCCAAACACGTGATTAAAAAAGGTATCCGCGGTTATCACGGGTCTAAGTAACGTTAGAGATAACGCGGTCGAACAATTTTTCAAGGTGACTAACCAAAAATATGAAACAGCCAAACTGCATCATGATTTGAAGCTCAGAAACTATCAATTCTTCTGCTCTTAAAACTCGCTGTTTCGTGACGCGCTGAACTGACCAGGTCACGATAAGGGGCGATTTACTAAATAGGGAAAGTTTCGAAGACTCTCAAAATTACTTTCAGCGGAGCGATTGAATTTCGTCATCCTGATCCAAAAGCATGGGACAATTTGATGCTTGTTTCTCCACACGTCGCTTCTCCTTAATGAATTTAGCATTGTGGATGCTCAAAAAAAATTTCAACGTAAACTATCAAACTTTTCTCTTGTAAAATAAAAACAGAACGCTCGCGTCCACGCGAAAAAGCGTTTGGGGAAGTTCGGTCAGGTAGATTCAAATTCCCACAATATGCCACTCAACGCGATTCCTTGACGTCGGCAGCCTCTTCGCCAGAAATCGACATGGCATTCCACTTGGATCCTTCGAACTGCTTCAAATGTAACTATTTTGGTCATCATACAAAAACACAGTTACACATCGAACTCCTTCAACTCCTCGTGATCGTATTTGCATCTACTGAATGGATCAAAATTATTTCAAACGAAGTTTCGCTCCTCGGAATTTGTTCCGACATAGATGTACTTGCGCAATACAATTAATTTCAGGCGATTATTATGTCATCGTTCCGTCATGATTTCATACGTTTTCCAAGTATGACTCAATATTTTGAATGATTTTGGATTTTTTCCATGATATCAACTTATAAAAAGGTCGTGGATCCTTACTTAAATACTGCTGTTATTTACAATTTTTTTTTTTTTCTGGCAAACATAGTTCGCCACTTTTAGAAACATTATAGGAGCAATGGTCTAATTAGGAAATTTATTGTAAAAAATGAATAAAATATTAATAAATGTAAAAGATGATCTCACATTCTTACTTGTGTCATTTTCAAGATCACATCATTCACCGAATCGCTTCGACGAAGTTCTTTTAATTTCAAGAGCATATTTTTTTTTCTGTTCTTCAAACTTCTTACTTTTTTTCGGGTGGTAACGCTGTACATTAGGACGTCAGGAAAAATTACTCACGGATCCCAAACATCGATCAAAGTGATCGGGATTTCGCGTAAATGCTGAGGCATCACGTAGGTGGGCGAACAGTTGAGGGTGAGCCTAGAGGCCAGTTGACTTTGCGTCATTTCTTCTAGCTATTCGATTCGAAGCAAAAAATAAATAAAATGAAAATTCAGGTAATTTTTCACGGAGACTCTTCGCAAGAATTTTAAAAAGTTGATCTCACCCGTGAGACCATGAAATCGACTGATTCAACAATGTCACGATCTTTGCTCCCCACTGGCATGTTTCCAAGCACCATACGCTTCAGAAACATAGAAGGTAGCAGCCAAAAACTGAAGCAAAAAAAACGAGAACTGTCAAGTGACCCGATTCGAACACATTAATTTAAAACAAGCTCACAAAGGGGAGGCATCCCGGTAACCAAAAATGGACGTGTCCGTGAAGGAATTGCACAGAATAAGGGAAGCCACCCGCGGCACTGGGCGTCCAATAGAATGCATCTCAGCAAACTTCTGAGCGAGAAAGCCGCCTAAAGCAGCGCCGAACAAATGAACTCGCTCCAAACGAAGTGTGTCCAGAAGTTTCCGAAAACCCGCGCACCACTCAGCTACCGTCCAATACGCAGGCCACGACACCTGGAAAATAATCAATGTCCAGAAAATAATTCAAAAAGCTGTCACGAGGACATTTTTGAACGGAAAATTGCAATATTCAGTTGTTCCTTAAAACTAAAGAATAAATAAGGTGAGCTTACTTCGATCCCAGTAATGTTTTTACTTTCAACCAGATTTAAAAAAAATTAAAATATTTCATGATCTGAACGAGATCCCCAATTCCAGAAAATTTCAAGAGGCCATTTAACAAGAATAGAAGCTAAAATGCCACGATTCAGAAAAACTTACAGCCAAGACGCGAATATTTCGCAAGGACAACGCAAGCAGTTGCTTGAAGTAAATGTCCGATGAACCGGACAATGGAGGGAACATAATCAACGGGCTTCGAACTTCTTTCGGTCCACAGTCATAGATTTCCCAGGATCCACTGCCATTACTGGACGTAAAGTAGAAAAAAATTAATGAATGTCATCATCGGTCAACAAATGAAAGACTTACTCATCGACGACGACGCGTTTGAGAGGAACGGAAGATCGGAAGCTTTCATACTCTCTCGAGTAGGGCTCCTCCACTGGCATACCAGGACTGACTCTGGCCATCGCGAATCTCTATCCACAGGCACACAACAATCGATAGATCACACACGAGTCGAAGGATGAAAAATCTTTGCAAATACACAGGAAAACGCCAACTCCGAGAAAAACTGAATGCCACTTATTTCCTCGTTCCTCAACATGGGTTACGACTCGACACGAACGCTATCGATCATTCGAACGCGAAAAGAACCAATGCGGCACCTGCCCCCCTTCTTCAATCGAAGCCTCATGAAAAAAGTCCGAAAATCATTGGGACAGTAGACTGCAGAAATCTCTTCAAGAGAATAAAAAAAAAATGTTCAAGTGTCGGCAACTCATTTTGCCGTCCAGTCGTAATTACTGTAGCCTTTCGAGAATGCCTCGACTTTCTCAAATTGAGCATCAACGGGTTCCCAAAACGGCTTTCTCCAAAGTCTTGGATCCAATTCCAGCATCCCTCCAATGATTTCCTGAAAATCAGATTAGCGAAGAGTTTAAAACTCCTGAAACTCAATTTCACAATTTTCAACAGCTTAGCATGTACAGTACCTAAAGCTCGAAAGAAAAACACGCTACAATACAAGTCACTAAAAATTACATAACGTAATCTGAAAAGAAACATGTTTGACAATTTACGTCGGGGGAAAAATGCTAGAGGAAAAGCGCTACCTGTGCAAAATTTCGCGGAAACGTCTCCAGATCTTCGATAACGTGCGCAAATCCGATTTCATCCCACGCAAGACTGATGAAGAAGTAAGGTAATCCACGGGGGATAACTGAGCGAACATCTCGACCACGCGGGATGTCCACAACTTTTTTGTTCTGCGACCACTCGGTTTCGCACTCCATCAACGCTTTCTGAAATAATAAAAAAAAACTATTTACAAACGTATCTGGAATGCAACTGACATTAACTGCAACTTCTTCAAAAATATCATCATTTATCCAAGAATTGGATATTATTATTCAAGAACCTTGATTCTATCCATAATCTTGGAGAGCTGATCCATTTACTAGGGTCTTTCCTTGGATTATGCAAGTTGATTACCACAATTAGATTTAAAAAAGCAGTTCGTCAACAAAAATAAATGTCAACAACAGAAATTCAGTCGCCCCTCGAAGATTTTTGAATGATTCTGAGAAATAAGAGCACGGCTCGATTAAATGCCATTGTCAATCTAATGAATTCAACACATAACCAGAAGAAAAAACAAAAACGAGAACAAAGAAAACATCAGATGAACCAACTCACTTTAAAATAAATTGGAGCCTGGTCTCCAAGTTCCCTCGGCAAAGGCACACATTCTATCGTCAAATGTGGGAATCCGGCTTTAGACTTATCGCCAGCGAAGTATTCGAAAAACACGCAGTCTTCGCCGCGATCTTGAAACATTCGCACCAAAGACTTGGCAAAATTCTGATCACAAAAAAAAGAATTTCAATTTACCAATTCGTTCGACGTTGAAAACTTTCAACACTTTAAACTCACCTTGATTTCCTCCCATTCGTTCTCGTCGGCTGTAAGGGAGCTTGGGACATGAGACAAGGGTGAGATAAGGCAATGCCCATCGACCAAGCTTTGAAATCCGGGTACGCTGAGGTATGTCTTTAGAAAAGAAAACATGTCGACGAAGTACCATTATATAAATGAATATGAATCAAAATGAATACATACAGGTACAGTCCTACACTATAATACTGTAGTATCATTGATGAAGCTTTTATACACGGAGTCCAAGAATTTACTTTGCTGTGGATCGGTGGGAAACCGAAAAAAAGTGACAATTCACGCAAGATTTAGCAGTTTTTTCTACAGCACATACCGGAAATGATTTCCGAAGGTCTGAAGAATTGCACGCACATGAAGTTACATACTGACAAAAACATTTTTGCCACTGGCAGCAGCGATCTATCCACAATTCAACTTCACGGTCATCACAAATTTCTAACCCTGAAATTCTTGGAACACTCTATTCAGTATTGCACAATGGCCCCACTTCTCGATTTTAGACTTCGTAGCCCGACAGAAATCAACTTTGAGAAGGACGAACACGAGGAATATTTTAAGATTACGCAACTTTTGGAAAAAAGCCAAAACTGATAACTTACAAGAGAACGCAAGGAAAAATACATAAACATCGTGACTAATGAATTGTCTACAGTCCAATTATGGACCTTTTCCACGTTGTTCCGAAGATGGAAGAATTTTCTACGACTCATATACTGTAGTTCAAAACTCAGTCCAGATTGAACGAAGAACATACACATCAAAACGGTGATGAATTCTTAAAAAAAAAGATCAAGTGCACGTTCAATGAAATGAAGAGGATAAAAAAGCTTTTCATCACTTACAAATGATCCCATGGCGATCATCAAATGCTTTATCATCCTGGAGGAATGGAAGCACCTGCGACAGGTTTCCAACTGTTTCTGCTGTATCCTATCTATGGCCTCCATTCGCTTCTTTTCTGCCAACTCGCTCCGCATCGCTTCTTTGGCCTCGCGCTTCGCTGTTTTGGCGCTCTTCTCGACCGCCGTCCCGTCTTCATCCCATTCATCAGGCTGGACGCGTTCTTCGACTCCCAAAGCAGCACTTTTGGCAGCACGAGCAGACATTTTGTTGAACAAGGCTCTGTCTCCGTCGCCGGCATCAGTGAGATTCTTCTCAGTCACAAACTGCAAGGAAAATACAATTTTAATCCGGATAATGGACGCATCACTGAATTTTAATTAGAGCCACTTCATCTCCCTCTGAATAGCGGAATTTCACGTTAAATTAACATGATCAGGCAAGCATCTGAAAGTTCGCAAAACTCGAAAAACAAAAGTAAAACAGTGGCTATTGTCACTTTTTCAATTGCTATTTAGGGCAAATGCACTTTAAAATTCGTGGGAACCTCAGTAATATTATGCAAGGTCATCGATAAATACAGTATGTTTTCGCCTTTTGAATGGAAATGTCCGAATACTCAATTTATGCGGGCAAAAGCTCCCGGTTGAAGTCCGGATAATTTGAGTTAAGCAATACTGTATACAGTAGAGACAAGTACTTCTACAGTATTTTTAAGAGCGTAACCCGTTTCTAATATTTAGAACCCGAACCAAAAACTTCGCGAAATTGTGGACACAAGAAGAATTTCATTTATTTTCCTTCGACGTTGATACTCACAATGCTGTGCAGCGAGTTTTTGTCGTCAAACTTGTACTTCTGCATTTCAGCAGTCATTCTTGTCGGGACTTTCTGGACATCACGAGGTGTTTGATCAGCAACAACAATTCGTTTACCGGCCGACATTTCTCGGGCTTTATCGAGCTTAGCTTGCAATTTGGCGGCAGTTGCTTTGTCACCCATCAACTCGGCTCTCAGGATCTTCGCTCCGAGTGCATTGAGTTCTTTTGGAGTCAATAGGTAGTCGTCTTCCGTTTCCATGTTCGGCTCTTCGATTTCCCCTTTCCGAGACGTTGGTCTTGAGGACAACTCTGCGCGTTCAGGGGATCTCTTGCTATCAGATTCCGGTTCCGGAGATTTTCGCTTTTTCCAACCGCGGGTTCCCGAGCTTCTACTTGAAACGGCAGGTTTCCTAAAAGAACAGGATCATTTCTTTTGATGATAAAATTATACTCCGGATCATGGATTTTTTTAAACGATGGACTCGGGCTAAATTACCACAAATTTTCGCTTTGGGGGTGGACCATGCTTTGTACAAGGAACTACAGTACTGTACACAGTATTGGGTCTCCATAAAACTGAACGTTCCACGATCCGTTTTGTTCTGTAAATTTTCGTAACGCGAAATGCATGTCCCTTCAGGTAGCATTATTAATTAATTAATTAATTTTCTTTTCACTCATGAAAAGACCAAAACAAAACGTAAAGTAACTTCATGTTATTTCTTTTCAGCATGAATTTGTGAATCTGAAACTGATTAGCGTTAATTTATGTAATTCTGACAAGTTTGTGCTCTTGACTTCCTGAATTTAACGAATTTCAAAAACAAGAGAAGGCAAAAATAATACCCTTCTTTTGTAATTTTCCTCAATTTATTGAAAAACTCCGAACTTGTAGCCAAAAACTTTCCAAAATGCAAGCATTATCCCGACAAAAATTTTAATAAGTTGAACACCGTTTTGTGAGTTATTCCCCCGGGTATGTTCGTATTGCGGATTTTTCGTTGTCTGATTCTCTCGTTATGCCGGGACTCACTCAATATGCGCTTAAAAACGAAGTTCGCAAGAAAGGCGAAGGTCTACTGTAAGAGAGAAAAGGCTGTAGAAAGCAGTATGGAAAATAAGGATAAGGATGTCGAAATCAGACAAGAATACGACGAGAAATCAGCGAAAAAGAATTTTCGAACTGTTCAGTGGTATAGGAATTGTCACCAATTTTTCACATTCGGTAATGATGATAGGTAGTGAGTTCCCCGGAGGAACCCCAAAGACTTGGGGGAAATAATTTCGTATTCAAAATTTTTTCAAGTGCAACTTTACCCTGACGAAGCATCTGCATCAGATGGACGTTTGTACCGATTGGAGTCCTTGTGCGAAGACTTCGGCCTAGATTCCAGATTCAACCTCACATCTCGTCCCTCAGCTGCGGACATCATCTTTTGCAATTTCTCAACCGACTGCAATGAATTTGATGATCATTCACGAACGTTGAGCCAGAAACGGAGAAAACTGATCACTCACGCCCCAACGCTCCGCAATGATTTCCTCAAGAGGCTTTCCTTGTTCTTCTGCCATCTCTTTCGCTCTTCTGAAAGCACGACGCAACCAGGAAGAACCACCATCACCAATCGAACTTTTGCTTGACGAACTCGGATCTTCCGCAGGCAATCCCGTCCCACCGTCTTTCCAATACGGATTCAATTCACGAGCATGAGTTCCGGGCTGGAAAATACAGTTTGAGAAGTTGCAATTTCAGTGAACCGGTGATTCGCAAAACGTATTTTATTTTCAGAAGAAAGCCAGAATAATCCTTCCAATAACATAAGATGCCCGAATATACACACTGCAATAAAAAATTGAAAAATCAACACCTTTTGGTCAAATTCATGGAAAACGACCACAAATAGGAGTTTAAATTACGGCGAACACATCAGGAACCATAAAAAATGAATCGCTTGCAGCGGGTAAAAAAATGTAGAATTATTCTGTCCTCATTCATAAATAAAAATTTCACCCGCAACTCAAATCATGGAATGCATGCGTCTGTAGTAATTTTAATGAGCATATCGGAGAGATGATCCGCTGCACGATTGGACTCAAGACGACTCGACAAAAAATTCCAATGCCACTATAACTTCCAGTGACATCTACCCTCATTAAAACAACTCAGCACTGCAATGGACAAAGTAAAATACTTCAGTGCAGAAAAATGCAGCATTTAAATTACCAATGTCTCTACAGCAAAGTTATCAACCATCTTGACCAAAGGGGTCTTTTCTGAATTAAATTTGCACGATGAAGCCACAGAAAAAATTGATCATGTTTACTCAAGAACCAATGCATTTCTTCCCTCAAAATTGAGAGAAAAAGAGGGTGTGCGTGCTGGGTGGGCATAACAATTTTCAATTTTTTTAAGTTTACGTGTGCATCAAATTTGATTCTAATGAAAAATGTGGACTAATTTGAATTTTTTGAAGGGAAAAATTCGAAAATTAATTGAATTCAGGTTCAATTCATGTATAAAGTCAAATTCTTGTGTGAATTATTTTTTTGAAAACAATGTTGCAGTTTTTCAGTCACCAAAAATGCGGTGTGTGTCTCACTCCAGGGCCCATGGCACTCAAGTAAATATGGTATGCTTTCCAAATCAAAAATATCCATTGCAAAGTGTCCTGTGTTTCATGCATATTTTTACATTATTTGTTTCAATTTTTATTTATTTTATACCCCTGAAGTGGTTTTGGAGCCCCGGGAAGTGCATGAGGTGGCCCATACGGGTCTCCGGGGTATCGGTACAGGAAACTGAAGAATTATATTCTTTGCGGCCGGAAGGCAGGAAAATGATAAGTTCTCTAATTTCAAAATAAGGTAAAATCAATTCTCCGACGGCTGACTCACGTTTTCCATCAACTTTCTTGATTCAACTCTGGAACGATAGGATGCATCTGTCTGATATAAACGTTCCTCCCGCTCTTTCTTTCGCTCGGCTTTGACTTCGGCCAAAGAAAAACATGGAAAGGCAGCATTATCAATATCGCCCGCGGTCATCCATTCTTCTCTCGCTGATTTCACGTCAACGTTGGGTTCGACATCCTTGTCCTTCTTTTTCCCTTTTTTCTGTAGCTTCTTCTCCTTTCGATCGATCTTCTTTTTCTTTCGTTCGAGCTTCGCGATTTTAGCCTTGAGGTATTTAATGCGATCATTCTCGGCATCTTCACCACTTGATGAACTCGAACTTTCACTATCACTCGACATCCTGAAAAAAAAATTAGATCGCGGGTTGATTAAATGGCGAAGGTACAACACTCTTCTCAAATTCATTCTCATGAAAAACGCACATTTTCAGAATGATTGATTGTTATTGACTCACTGGACTAGACAATTAGAGCTTCCTTTCCGGAAAAAGGAACAACTAAACGCGTGATCGGCAGACACTCGAGTATTTCAATATTGCTCAGAATGTGAGTGCACGACAAATTCAAGGGGATCGTATTAAAGCAAGCCATTAGCCAACAAGATCACCGAACACGACGACGAATATATTAATCGATGATTTCCTTCCAAGCACCCCGAGCGAACTAGAAAATTTTCAATGCACAATAGAACCGGTAACACTCGGTTTGCACAAAATCCCGTTTCAAACACTCCAACGTCGTTTCGTGACTCAGAAAAAAAAAAGCAATGCGACCCCTTCGCTTTCCTCGAGGAATGCTTTGAAAATTTAAAAAATACAACGCTTCCACAAACTGACCTCGTTGCGAAGATCAACGTGGGCACGATGTACTGCCCTGTTACATTATTCCATTCGCAAGGAATTTCAGCCGAAAAATGATTCAACAACCGCTCGCACGACTCACCAAAATTTCAGGACAAATTCAAAATTTTCCCAGCTCATTTCACTTTTCTTTTGTAATTCTCCGAGCAATGTAAACCCAAAATCTCAATCAACATCAAGGTGTTTGTTTCGTTTTCACAAGTATGGACAGTCACAGGATTTGCTGACCTCGAAAACAAGTATCTCTCCATCAGCGGATTCCAAAAAAAATCGGAGCTTTTAAGCTCTTCGAATACGCAACCCGAAAACACTTTTTAAACTGCACTCAACGTGAATTCAAAGCACCGCGGGACGATGAAGACAATAACCGAAACTCACCCCAGTAACGACGCTGGAGTTCGTTCAAAACGCCGATCACCAAAACCTAAAAAACGATTCACCAACAACACAGAACAAGCAGAAAATTCATCGATCCGGACAGCGAGTTTGATTTATCATGGGTTTCGAAATTTTGACTTCCCCTTCACCGGATTCGTCCTCACAAACGTGGACGATGATGGCGGGATGTTCTTCAGACGGCGGGTGAAGTTCATGGCTTTCTCCTGGAGTTAGTTGAGTGACAGCACGAAGGAGGTCGTAATTGATAGTGGGTTCAGATTCGTGGGACTGCTCCCAATCCACTGGTGGTGACGCCGGCGGAGATATTAAAAACTGCTTTTCCGGTTTTGGTGGTTTCAAATGACCTGTGGAATCTTCTTCTTGTTCTTTCGAATTCATCCGAGGCTATTAATAAAAAATCAGTCGAGAAATGCACTAGCACAGCATAAAACCATAAATCACAGAACCCTTAACGATCCTTGGTTTAGCAGCACGATAAGGATCTAAAAAATTTAATTTTACTGTACTTGAAAATATTTTATCGTATATTACAATGACACTAAAGATCGAAACCGAAAAAAACGATACAGAGGGGCCAAAAAAGGTGAACCGATTTTGGACTTGAAATAGCTCAGTAGCAAATCAAACTGTAGCAATGCAAAAAAAAACACCTAATGAAAGCTTGTTAAATTCCCTTTCAAATGGCATGTGGTTTTATGGTCCCAAGCACCACAGCGTGGTCACAAGAAACATTTGAATTAAAACTTTCAAAACAAAGTTGTCAGGCAAGTTTTACCACTAAGCTGCAGTTCTCCGGGGCTATTTTTAGGGATAAATGGTGTGCAGGACCAGTACTGTAATTCAACTGGTAAACTGTATGCCATTTTCAAGAGGGTGCACACATTCACAAAATTTAGAGGGTGGGGGGTGAGAAGCACAAACAAATTGAGATGCTTGATGATGATGTTGCTCCACTCTGAAATCCTGATGCAAGCTTCTTGCTGGGTCCATGCCTCATGGCTCCTGTGGACCCCCTATACATACAAATATCTGAAATATCTTTGGGATGACCCTCATCCTAAATCTGTTGAATGTGGGCACCCTCTTGAGGGCAGCATGAAGGTTTCCATTACTGGTCCTGCATCCCATTTATCCCTAAAAATAGCCTCTGGAGAACAGCAGCTTAGTGGTAAAAGTTGCTTAACATTTGTTTCCAAGTTTCCATTCAAATGTTTCTTGTGACCATGCTGTGGCACTTGGGACCATAAAACCAAATACCATTCAAAAGGGAATTGAACAAGCTTTCATTTGGTGTTTCTATTTCATTGCTGCAGTTTGATTTGCTACTGAGCTATTTCAAGTCCAAAATTGGTTCACTTTTTTTGTCCACCTTCCCATCCTCAGTACAGGGGTACAAATTTGCGCTCCTAAGTTTCTATACTGCTCTTTTTTTCAAAATTTAAATGGCGCAGTAAGTATAACTTTTCAAAAGATTGTCAAGTGAGAGCAGTCTTGCTGAGTGATTGAAAACAGAAGTAACTTTTCAAAATTGTAAACTCACCTGCGCCATGAAACAACCAACTTCACTTCCCAGAATAGTCACACCGTTTAAATGAATTCTCGCAAACGCAGCTTTCCAACTCGTGGAGAAGGTAACTCTGGCTCTCCGGAAGCTTTTGAAATACAGGACCGAGACAGACTCGTCGTAGGAACGCAGGATTTCTTCCAGCTTCACACGAGCGTCGTCCATCACGAAAATAGAGCTCGGAAGATTTGTCAGTATCAAGGAATCAGACAAATCTGCGTAATACTCTTCGTCCCCAACAGTTTCCATCATTTCCGCGTGTTCGGATGCGTCCACATCCATAAATGATTCGCGAATATTGCCCGAATTCATCACATGTAACACAAAACAATGCGTATACTCATTCGGTCACCTTTTCTGTAAAAAAGAAATAAGGATCATCTTCAGAGACAAAAATCTAGAATACATTCGTCGTCAAAAAGCACGATAATAAGATCAACTGGCACCGTTTTTCTTCTTCCAACGAGAACATAAAAATCACGTTAATAACTTAGTTGCATCGAACGATCAGTGTAAAGCCATATGGTTTAGCAAAAATCATATAAAACCCCCGAGACAATTTTAGTCGGCGTATTTGAACCCACTAAAACAGTAGGAACACATGTAATTCCAGCACATACTGGTAGAGCTCAGAAGTCGTTAAGGCATACTTTCTTTTTGGCCATCATCAATTTACCGTACTTCAGATCTTCTTCGTCAATTTTGCACACAAGGTCATAATAAATTTTAAAACCGACAGCAAGGAGCAGTCGATCAACTGTCATGACTGGATGAATCATCATCATGAGCAGAATCCACACGATGCTTCCGTGCGGATGGTGATTCTTGAGCCGTCTCAGGCTTTCTGAACTATGTCTTTCTCTTGCTGTACCCGAGCATATCATTCCACATGGGTAACTCAAACTCAGCCCAACACAAAAGAACGCCACTCCAGTGCACAAAAAGTACCATACAACGTTCCAGGGATACTGAAGGCGAAAGCACCAAACGGCGACGTCCAGGGAACACCAATTTTGTGCCAAAACCTGCAAAATGAAACAGTTCAGAGAAACCAGGTCATAGATAAGTTAGATGAGTTTAAAACGTGACTTACCGTGAGAGAAACGATTGACAGCATGAAGTATAACAGTCCTCCCATACGATCCCACTGAGATTCATTCACCATAAGTTTCGTCGCAGAATGAATCAATCCGAAGGCAACTATCAGAAAAACATCCCAACGTAAACCCGTCCAAAAATCTGTGAAAAAGTACTGTTGATTAACCAGATCTACATTTGGAAAGTTTGAAGAAATAAGAAACAAACCTTTCCATGCCTCGTCAGAGCCGCCAAACTTGAAACCGAAGCTGTTTTGGGGACAGTACACCAAGCTTGCCATCATGGAACAGTTCAATGGTTTTGAGCGCAAAAACCCATTGAGATCAGAAATAGCCAAAAAGGCATCGAAGGCAAAAAATGACATCCAACACATGGCTGCCATTTGCCCAACAATCAACCCTTTCGACATTATTTCCAGTTTCTACACAAATTGCGAAGACCTGCGATGAAGAAAGAATGCAAAATGTTAGATGCCCACACAAAACAACAAAAAAGATGCTCAACGAATCTTTCGAATCACGTAAAAACAGTCATTGCAGCTGTATGAAATAAGTTATCCCTTTTCGACCACGCATCGTTGGTTCTCGAAATTATCATCTCATTTTACTTAGATGGACATGGAAGTCAAAATAAGTTGAAGGTAACGTTTGTACTCAGGGAGGATTTCTAGCGGGAAAGGTTCCGTGCTTTTAGGCTTCTTGGGAGATTTTTCAATCGAAGTACAGTAACTTGTAAACGATATAAAAACTGTAAAACTGCTCGAGCAAAAGCCAGATGAAGTACAGTATTTCACGATCGTTTCGAAATGGCTGAAGTTTTTATTGAAAGACTTCACTTAGGATTATTTACAAGACAAACAACACAAGAAATACAGTAACTCCCATTGAAATTGTGCTCAGAGCGGATTAAGCTTAGATTAGACCATGATGATCAAGCTAAGATTAAGTAAAGGATAACTGAAAACAACTTAAGTACTCGTGGGAAAGTCTTGGGAGGAGCACGGGTGGGAAGATAATTGCCAAATAGAAGAGGTATAAAAATTATTCAAAAGATTACATTTTCAGATGCCTTTGATTGCTTCTGAATTTATCGCAACTTTTGCTTTTCTATTGGTGTACTTTCTGAGTCTGTAAAATGCTTTGTTTTCATCCAACTGCAACGGAAATTTGTCGAAATTTTTTTTGAGAAACCTTTCTCACGTCATGAGGAGACGTACAAAAAGAAAAAGCAACGCAACATTTATTTTAAACAGGGTTTCTTTCCCATGTACAGAACCGAGGCTCAATTACTGCGACTGATTATAAGAACGGGGAATCACATCAGTGGCGAGCAGACCGATAAAATCCTACTTATCCATAGCCGCGAACAAAACCGGTAACACACTCAAGATTCCACAACAGTTGGGGGAGGATCGGGTCTGGCAAATTCGTCCAATTCGGCATCGTAATAATTATATGCGTTGTAGGGCATAAGTTCCCAGCTGGCGCGTTCGTGAATCGTCGTCAGTGGTGAAACGCCAAGATCCTCCAGCCTCGGCAAACCGCTCAAGGTGTCGGTAACGTTTTCTCGCTCTAACTTCTCCCAAGTCATCGTATTGATAGGACTCGCGGGATTGATTTTCTCATTGAAGATAATTTTCAAGAAATATGTCGGATCGAATCGCATGTCGTACCTGGTAATTTTAATATCAGTAAGTGATTCGGGAAGTAAAAACGACAGAAAAACCATCTTCACCTCTTGTAGCCCCATTCGGTGTCCATTTTCCGCATCACACGATGAAAATAATCAATGAGCTCGCCAAGAACGAATCTTTGAGGACCGACGATTTCATAGGTCTTGCCTTCGGCGTTTCGCTCAAAGATGGCGTTTACGACCCCTCCAGCTACATCTCCGACATACACGGGTTGCTTAATGACATGGTCACCCTTTTTCCAAAGCGGATAAAAGCTGCATAAAATCAAAAGGAAAAATGAAAAAGTTAACGGAGTAAATACATACATTTGACAGGAAAATGAGAAACTCGGAATGAAATTTTCATTTTACCAGAATAAAATTGAGTAAGAGTTGTACTCAGCCATGCAAAACCTTTTCATAATTGGATCAATACTTATTTTTCTTTCAACAAGGAGAGCAAATCACGACAAAAAGCAACAGTTCAGGAATAACAAAAAAGACGATGACTTTTTCCGCAGCTTACAGCAGTCTTCATGCAATATCCAAACGATTTGGAAGGAAAACTTTACTATATGGCTATAAAATCATTAGATGTACTGTAGATCAATTTTCCAGAGCTTTTCTTTTTAATTCAATGATTTTCCCCAATCCTGTAAACCTCATAAGAACGCTATTCAACAATTACCATAGTTATTGCGGACGAGAATCGAATAAGTTACATTACCTTGATTGCCGTCTCCACCACATCGCGTGATACCTCATGAACCGGTCTTCTTGCCCCCAAACATCCGCGGGGCGGAAGATGATTGCTTCGGGATACTCTTCTCGAACAGCTTGCTCGCCAAGCCATTTGGTTTTCAAAAACTTCGATCCTCCTTTGATAACGGTACTCGGCGGATTTTCACTCGCATTCAGGGCTGAGAAATGTATGAGCCGCTCTACGCCCATTTCCTTCGCTATTTTGGCTACATTCCTAGCAACCTCAACATGAACTCGATGAAAATTGAAGTTCCGCGTCTCGTAGTCTCGTCCGATGAGGTTGACAACAACATTCGAATAGCGCATACTTTTGCGAAGAGAATCTAAGTCGACCGCTTGATACGGAGTGAAAAGGACCTGGCCGAGGTCACCAACTAACCGTAGGCGAAGAGGGTCATAATTATCGCCACGGTACGGGAGAATTAACTGCGAACCGATTTTTCCGAGTCTGTTACAAACGTAGCGTCCGACGAAACCCGTGGCCCCAAGAACAGTTACGACCAAGCCATTAAAGCTCGAACGTCCTCCTGTACCTCGGCGCAAGTTTGCTAGCGAGGTGGCTTTTAAGGGCTGGATCTCAACATCATTAGCCGATTTCGAGCCATTCGAAGAATGCCTCTCCGATATTATGAGGCAGGACGGGGTTAAACGGGCGGTCGCTATTCGGCCGACACCAATGGTCGCGCTGTTTCGGACAGCTAGCATGACAGCTCAAATTTCGATTGCCCTAATGAAAATAGAATCCAAAATTAGAAAAATGTCCGTAGAGAGAAGTACACGAAATTCAGCATTCTATCGACGGCACGATTTTTTCACACGGGCACAAGCGCGATCTGAACCTAAAGAAAATTCCTACGGAAGTGCTCTGTAGGAGGACATGACAGAGAGAAACGCAGTGTTTCTCTGTGCTCGAGAACTCATAGAGTTTTGAAATCCTCCTCAGACCTAATGTGCTGAAGTGGCGATTTGTAACAGGATTGCCTAATTGGTTCCTCTCAGAAAAACAGATTTCCGTCGAGACGACGAATTAAATTAAATAAAGTGGTCCATATACTTAATTATAAGCTTTTAAAAATTTCACCTTTCAAGAATACTGTTTTGAAAATATATTGTATTCGACTATTTTCTTAGGGAATTTCTATTTTTTTTTACTTGCGTACTTTTGTCTATATCTTGGAAATCGTCAATTTTCAGATTTTTCGCCATGTTCTCAGATGAACTTCAAGATAATACCGAATTCAGTTTTGTATTAACATTACAGCGGTGAACATTTCAGAAAAGTGTTCTATTACATTTCTGCAATTTTTCTGAACTCTCAAATACATTACTGTATTGTGATTGAAGAAAGAGGGGAGCAAGAAAATAGTAATAATTATAGTAGATTAAAAAATTAATCTAAAAAACCACGTTTTCAAAAAGCAAAAAATAACCTTAAATGTGGTGCGCATCTATTTCATTTGTATTTCACTTCTTCCCAACAATCTCCATGCGCACCACGTTTAAGGTTATTTTTTGCTTTTTGAAAACGTGGTTTTTTAGATTAATTTTTTAATCTACTATAATTATTTTATTCTTTTTAAAAAATATTCTTAAAATTTATTTTTTCACAAAAGATTGCATTGTCATCAGTTTCTAGGCTATCCTGAAAGTTTCAGCTTGATAGCTAGTCGGGAAGTGAGTGAAATTTGAGTTTCAAAATTTGATCTGGACAAACAAACAGACAAGAAAGTGAGTTAATAAAAACGTGTTAATTAATCAGAAAAAAAATGTTCCAGGGGGTGGGATTGAACTCGGACCTCTGCGACCAATTCAGTTCACCATGGGTTTTTTTCTTGGGGCCAAGGAAAACCTGCTCAAAGTTTTATTATAGAAATCTACTAAAATTATTTTATTCTTTTTAAAAAATATTCTTAAAATTAATTTTTTCACAAAAGATTGCATTGTCATCAGTTTCTAAGCTATCCTGAAAGTTTCAGCTTGCTAGCTAGTCTGGAAGTGAGTGAAATTTGAGTTTCAAAATTTGATCCGGACAAACAGACAGACAAGAAAAGTGAGTTCATAAAAACGTGGTAAATAGCAACCGACCATTCTTTGGTAAGCTTTCGTTCAGTTATGAAATCATCCTTTATTCATTCAACTGCATTGATAACTAACGGATTAGCTGAAATTTCGTATCAACCCATTTCAGTTCTTAGTAGCCCTATACATGATTGCAAAAACAAACTAAATTTCAAAAAGCATTGGTCATTCTGCGAAGAGTCAGCATAATGCTTCGCCATCGTTACAATAAATGAAACAAGAGGTATCACTTGGAATCGCAAAAACGCTTGCCTGTGCTTCATTTTCATGTCTTCAAGTTCATAGAACATACGGAGCATCCTTCACAAATGCGCTGACAATATGCATCTTCGCGAGGGTTCTGCAACTGGAACCACGCCAGAAACAGATCAATATCTTCCATACTCAAAATGCACTGCACTTCACAAGAAAAGGCATCCAGGACGAAAAAGTTGCAAAAGCAAAGAATTCCCTCATAAACAGTAAAAAAAAATCTGACGAGTCATAGGCGGCCAACTTGCGCGCATCAGATCCACTTCCTTCATTCATAAAACAACTCGAACTCGGATATTCCTACTGCCCTAAAATTTCAGTCCAAACACGCTTCAATGCATTGTCATGCCGGACATGACCTCAAAATCGGCATTCTTCGAATCAAGAATCCAAAGATACGCAAATTATGCTTCTTTTAATTTTTCTACGTCATGTGCTTGGATCAGAACGAACGCAGTCCGCTGATACTAAAAGTCGTCTTTCAAATTTTGCCGAATACGAATAACACACGAATAGTAACCCAATTTTTCATTATTTTTCTAAATTCGGCAAAACAGTGGTTCCAACTAAAAAACACTGCGTATTGCGTTCTCAAAACATACACATCAACAGCATTAAAAAAAATTAGACCAACGAACATTCTTGGTTTTTACAAGTAAAAATATTTTCAGGATACACTGTCACTCAGGTGTATAGAATAAATAGCACAAAACAATCGGTAGGAACTGAGACCACCTCACTGAATAGAATTCAACAACCTTCTTATTGCATACGTGGAACGCACAACTGGTGGTTCGAATCTTTCCAAAAATAAACCGCCTTTCTCGGCTTGTGATGATTCGCCACATATTGAAAAATTGCGAAGCTAATAAGTCGGGCATTACAAAACCAAAGACTTTTCACCACTTGGCACTCGCACCTTTGCTTAAACGTTAGGATCAGATCCAGTACTTAAGAATCAGATTCCTCGAAAAATTTATATTTCATGAGGTTCGGAAAATTCAATAATTCTGAAATACGCAAGTAACATGTTCAGATATGCAACAAGTTTCCATGAAAATAGCACCAGGTCCCTGCATTTTGTCACTAAAGATGCTTCGAGGTTTACTTTCAAGACATTTCTTATGTTTAATCATGCAAACCGAACTACAATCCACAGAAGACGGAAATTCAAGGACGGAGAGCTTGATAAAGCATTTGAACTTTCTTAAGAGAAACATCGTTGGGTGACTGAGTTGATTTGAGATTGGTCGATTGCAGTACTTATAAAATTTCAGTTTGACTGTATCTAATTAAATTGAATTACTGTATACTGCAACTCATCCTACAATACGAATTATAAAACCCCGCCTCTAGAACGTTACATGTCAGGACTGACGTTAGCATGAACATTTACAATACGGTAAAATGTGTGACTTTCTGAGTTTTTAAGAACGTCTGAGTTACGTCAGATATCGTAGCTTTAACTTTAAAATTAGGCTGCTTCCTCATTATCTGAAAGAAGACCTCCAATCAATAGTCAGTTCACTGGGGGATTCCACTCCATCTGAATTGTAAACTTCCAAATAAATTCAGAGATCCTGAGTAGGGCACTTTTAGGGGCAGACTCGATTCTTGGAGAAACGCTGTCATTAAAACAAAAGCGTTCATATCTGGCAGATATACGTGCACATAAGGAATAAATATCTGTTTAGCGTTACGAAAATGACAAAGTTAATAATTTTGAAGTACAGTAATTAAAAAAAAAAAACTTGTCAGCCCCAGGCATCCGTGTAGCGGACATCGATCTCTTCAAGCTCAGGAAGACAAGCTTTCAACATTTCAAATGTAGTCACGGATAGCCAAGTGCTGTTCAGATTCAACCTCCTCAACCCTTTCAAACTCGTCAAACACTGCAAGCCTTTGTCAGTCACCGGGGTTTCGCACATATTCAATACCTGCAATTGCGTCAAGTGCTCACAAATCAACTCCAATCCTTCATCACCAAAACTAGTCGCCCAAAGATTTAGATATTTCAAAGAAGACAATATAATCAAGTGTTTCGCACACGCAGACGTAACTTTTGTGAAGGCCAAACTGAGACATTCCAAGTTGCCGAAACTGCCGCTTTCCACTAGTCGGGCGACGTCTTCGTCCGTACTTCGCGTCGGCAGGGTTAATTTTCTCGGCCCCCCTTTCATTCGTAGCTTCTCAAGGTGCGATTTCCGTTCAAGCAACCTCGCATATGCGTCTCTTCCACTAGCAATGCTTTCCAGAGTTGTCGCAATCTGCATCTGTGCTTCTTCCTCGAGTATCATATCGTACTCGAGCATGAAACACAGCACTTCTTGCGCAACAGGACAGTCCCTAATCGCAAGCAGCTCCAGAGTGCCGACGTTCTTGACCATTCTTCCAACAAATTTCTTTCTCCGACAACAGCATTCCAAAAGCACAGACAACATATGGACCCACACTCGAGAGATTTCATCATAGTCAGTGTCGTACCGAGCAGGACAGAAAATGTCAAACCATCCCTCACGCTCGTCACGGATCGCCAGAACCGCTTGATGGGTATCACACCTCGGATCATTCACAAGCTTTATCACAATTTCACCGAATCGTTTCAGAAACTCTGTGGAGGAGACGGCGGCTTCAGAAAAAGGCACTGGATGCAGAATCTGCGCAAGGCCAGGACGCCAATCCGCGAAATTGGCGACAACGTTGAGAATATTCAGACTGACATTGAAGTTATCCCATCCCGCCCGGGAGCCAACAGGCGCGACAGTGTCAGACTCCGTCCGTTTCTCGCGAGCAAAAGCTGCATGCAAAGCTGCCAATGCAACAGCCACAAGATTCGGCATGATTCTCGGGTGGGGACACACACTGGAAGGTCCGTGAAGCCGAGACAAGAAGTCTTCCACTGCTTCCTGTCCATTGTTCTGGCACAGCAATGCTCCCATGTAATCATGCGCTAGCTTACGCATATACGGATGCTTTCCAAAATCTGCACTCCGCTTCAGAATCCATTCCACTACAGTTGAAAGAAGCCGTGGGATCAAAACTGAGCGCGGGTTTCGATGGCAATAGTCGGAGAAATAACAGCACAAGGTTTTAGACGGTCTCGTGGATTCAAGCAGCGGCCCGATCAGGATAAGTATGTCATCTTCAACAGGAGGTGGGAGCCAAGTGGGCGTTAATCCGTTTATGACACAACACACAGTTCCTGGGTCTTGCACAGGGGCAGACAAGGCGTGCCGAACCATATTCCGTACTTCCCGACACTTAATTTCTGGACGAGTGGCACAGCGAAATATCTGCTGGTACTTGAACATGCATCGGCGGGAAGAGATTGATTGCAACCATTGGTCACGAAGATAAATACTTGACGTTTTGATGAAAAGAGAGCCTTCGGAAAGCGCAATACGGATCACGTATTTCCGGGTGCTGCTTGCTGGTGGAGACACAATGGAAACGTCTTCAATGATCGAGTACCTCACCGGGGTGGCTAAAAATCCGACTGGCGTTTTGGAAACCACGGCAGCCTCGTCTAAACATAGTCTGTGTCGTTCCCAACGATGTGGCAGTCTCGTATGCAAGAGTTTGTGAAGAAGCTTACGCTTGTGCGCCACACGACAAACGAGTACATCGCCTTCTGTAAGCAGCTTCATTTTCGACGTAAATGTTCGAATGTTTGCTTCGTCTTCATCATTCGGCAGGATTGGAGAGGGCTCGGGAGATGGTACTTCAGAGATTTGAAGTGCCGGCGGAAATCTGGTTGAGCATGACACCGTTACAGTGCCCCACTTCGTACGGCGCATTTCATTCGCCAGTTCGACCCATTCCTCGAAACACAGCTCTCTGTTTTCACAATCGATCATGGCAGCAAAACGTGCCACCAACTTCTCGTCTCTCTCCAGGCACGGGGTCCGATGATTAGGAAAGCTCCTCGACCGGAGGAGCTTGAAATTAGCTTGGGTTTCGCGGTTACCACCGGTGGACTTCCGTCTCAAGAAACATTTCCACACGAGACGCATTTCATGATTTGAAGCTCCTAGGTCATTCAAAAGAGCTTTGAACTCTGGAAGATTGTGGAACGCCGCCGGCAACTTCAGCAACAACATAGCTAAAGTTTTCACGCTCGCTCTGATGGTTGAGATTTCTTCTTCACTCCAAGTCGAAGGCATATTCTCTAAGAGAGAATGGGTTTTAAGTAAAATCTTTGGCATGCAAGTAAATCACTTCGAATTCGCTTACTTGAAATTTGTTGCATCGCTTTGAGGACAACAGGAAGGAATAACGGCCGCACACGGCCGATACATGCTATGATTTCCACGACATCTTCCGCGTCCGATGGGGATAGTTTGTCCCATTGAAGAAACTCGATTAATACGAGGAGAAGTTCACTGACGATGCAAAAATAATGTTTTCACCACGCATGGCAAAAAATGTCACGAAGTCTCATTGCCTTGCTAAAATTACCTTGCTCTTTCATGCAGAACATCAACGGACACATGCGGTGTCCGCCTGTGTCCGTCTTCGACGACAGCCACATCATCTGAAGGCGGTATCCGAAATCTAGTGGGTGTGCTCGCAGCTAGAATGACCGTCTGAAGAAACTTGAAAGCATTTGTACGGCAGCTGCAAGCGCGAGAATAGAGATTGAGATTTTGAAAACAGCACTTCACAATAAATTCTGACTCACGCTTCACTTTCCCCGTGCAATCTCACTATTATCAACTCCTCAATACGTTTGACCACATCTAGCGATAAGATGACGGTTTCGTCGTCTGCTTGGCCGAAACATGCTTCGTAATGCTTTCCAACGAGCCTCTCTGCCACACGAATCGCTTCGAGGACATTATAATCGAAGGAGTCTTCTTCTAAAGCAGTAAAAAGCTTTGCAAAGATCTCTTTCGACACAGCCGCTCCATCACTATCCGAACAAAACAAACGTTAATCTGGATCTATACGACATTACATTAATTTCCAACTCACATAAAATCGAAGGAATAAGGAATGCTTTGATCTGAAACACGGTTTGAAATCGGACTTCTGAAGCTGACGGGTTTCAACGAATCAACGACGATTCCGCTTTGGTGGCGTTCATCCGAATTCTGAACGCATGGTGGCAACTAAGAATTATTAGAAAAATCAGTCGTATATTAATTTGCACACTTGAGTATAAATGAAACCGCACCTTCGAATTGACCATCTTCACGCATCGGATGCCTCAAATCCGAGGAACGGATCTGAGTTTCAAATCGCGATGATTCAGGGATTTACGTCACATTCTCCGAAGCCATATCCTGTTAGATCACCATGAAATATTTCGGGCATCGCAGCCAAGTAGGGACTCAAGCCTTGCATGACATTCACATTGGCAAATCCAGAAGCCACAGCTCATCCACTGCCTTAAATGAGAATGGATTACTTGCACATTCCAAGCCTAACGCAGAATAACCCAAATGCAGTGTAATCCAAGCACCAGAAGAGGTGACTGAACTGTGCAGCTAATAAAAACACAAAAATGAAGAAAAACAACACACAGGCATTCAGAGGCCCGATCAGTTAGATTTTTTGCATTTTAAATATCTACCGTACTATGTACCATCGGCAGATACAGAAGTCATTAGACGTACATTATTTCATGATACAGTACAGTAATTTGAAAACGTAAACTAAGTCTTGCGACATCTAGCTTCAGTTTGATGTACCCTAAACAGACAAATTCCCTCCAGGAACCAGGAGTACAGTACTGCAGTGTACAGGATCCATATTGTACAATCCAATATACAGTAGTTATCCATGCTGTACTATAGTATATTGGGTTGGGTGCCCCTCAACTATACTGCACTATCTCGGTATTACATGAGTGCCGAGGATAGCAATAAGATGATTGGTACAGCTTTATAATACTGAACAGTACTTCTGTGTGTATCATACAAAGCACACAACATTTCCCCCTAGGAGTAGCTCATATAACAAACCGGGCTTAAGCAACGAACCGCAGTTTCCCCGTAAAAAAAAAGGTTGCGCTAAGATTTCTGGTCATTTACAAGGGAGCATGAAAATCAGTGAACTCACTTCATCTTGGGTTTCATCGCATTATACTGCTCATGATTTCGCGTGATCAAGCACAACTTCAACCAAAAAAACCAAGAAAATCTTGAGATGAAATCAGTTTCTGGTTTTATGTATACTTTAAATGTTGTACATTTTTATTCAATGAGTGATTCAAGTCATGAACTGATCGTGCTTCATCATCTTCCCCTTTGGAAAGTTTTCCATGAGTCACACGCTAACAGCCAATCATATTTCAAACCGTATCCTTACAATACCGCACGCACTTGGCAAAATAGATTAACAACTTCGTAAGGAAACACCAATAAGGGAATTGTATACAGAAGATTTGAAAATCTCACATTAATTTTTTTATTCGTCACTTCATCCAAGAACATCAACGAATGACCACTCTAAATCTTTCGGCAGCGGCGTCTTCAATTTTTTTATGGATCTGGTTGACTTCGGCTTGGGTGAGGGTTCGTGTCATACTCCGATACACAATGGAGTAAGTTTGACTTCGGGTCTTCTTCTTCGGATGGAAGAACTCGTCCACTAACTCCACTTGCTCCACAACATCGCCTCCCATCGACCGCACCATATCAAAAAAGTCGTTCGCTTCTAGTACAGGAGCTTCGGCTTCATCCGGCAACCAGAAGCTGATATTGTTAGTGCATTGTGGATACACGCTTACGGGCTGTAATGTCGAGAGAACAATGCATCGACGTACAAAGAATACGTACAGTAGTACAAAATACGGTACTTTACAGCGATAAAAAAATTTTCTGGAGTAAATTAAGCGTCATCTACTGCGTCCGCCTGCGCATCAGTAAAAAATAGTTCGCGACTGTGCGTCAGTACCTTAGCTGTATGTTTCCGTAGTTTATAGCCTCAGCATTTCAAGTCAGGTCCAAAAGCATCTTGATTATTCGAACAGTTGAATATTTCCTGCTTTTTAATTCGTACAGTGAATTAGAAAGGATATCCAAAAAAAGTAAAAAGCTTTCTGAAGGTTGAAGGACTTCCGCGAGTAAATGACGTCATAACTTCAGCACCTCAAACGTTCCAAACATACCTTGTACTTCACAAGATCTTCGGGATTCTTTCCTTGAAATTGACTCAGAAAGCCGGTGTCGGATGTCCAGAATAGTCGGATATCAGGGATTGAGTACAATCGCATGGCCCAGCGTTCTAATCCGATCCCGAATGCCCAGCCCATTCTATCTCTTGCTAATCCAGCTGAAAAATGCGTACGAAAACGCGTATGCCCAACTCGTATCATTCCATCTCTGAATAGCTTCATAATTCACAGGGGTTGCTTTCCCAATCAAAAACACGCCTAACAAGGGTAACAAACAATGACGGAAGTAATAAAAACATATATCCTATTGTAAATTAACACAAAAGGCCGCAAATTTTACGTTTAGAGCAAAAGGGTCTTCCATTTCGCGTAATTGGATTACAAACCGATCATGCAAAACTCAACTTGGATATTTATATACAGTACTCGCCATTCTATTCGTTTCATGGGTCGTTCATCAAAATAGGGGTACAGTAGTATACTCATGTCTTTCGGGATTTTTGTCTTCAATTCCCGTAAGACGCGTTTATTCCTGCATTCGAAGACGGTTTTCAAACTTCTTGAAGACGTATTTCAAATGCCGTGCACTGTACATCCCTCAACAACAACAAAAAAACCCTTATATGTGAAGCAGCTTCAATTCTTCACCACGCTAGTATTGCTTCACTATGCTGGTTAGAGCTGGTGCACAGTCATGATCGTGATCGGAAAAAGTGGCAGTTCAGAATTACTATACAGTACTTTGAACACATTTTTCAAATAAACCGCCCAATACAACGCAGCGTCGATTGTTTCCCTCCCGTGTGAAGCACGAAATACAGACACGTAATTTTCCCAGTGATGACCTCTTCAAGAATGAAAAGATTATGAAAAGATATGCTTGATGTGCTGGAATGGCTTCGTCATTCGGAAATACACATTTCAGGTGGATGGAAAATATGTGAATATGAAGAATCTTTCATTTTTAGGAAGATCACTTCACAGATTTTCTTCAGGAAGTTCTGTTAAGCACGAAAATACGTCCTTTACGTAATTCTTCGTATGCAATGTCGTTAGCTCCAATTCTAAGAGTAAAAGATTACTCCTGAAAGAAAAATGCACATCCTAAATCGCACCGTTCTGCAGAATTTGCTGTTCCATGACTCCGCATCCCAGCATTTCCACCCACTTATCGCTTTCCGGCCAGCGCACCTCCAGCTCCCAAGAAGGATGAGTAAACGGGAAATACGCTTCGACCCATCGCCGTTCCACATTCTTCCCCAAGATATCGTCACACAGAGCACCCAAACACTTCTTCAAATCCGACTCAATGAACGCGGCCCCTGGTTCCGAATGACACTCCTGCGCATTCTTGGTTCGTTCCCCATCCCAGAACGGGGAACACCTCACTTTATTGGCGACGAAGGCCGCAGGAAAAGTCCGAACACCTTCGATTTGATGAAACACTGGATAATGCGTGGCATCCACTGCGTCTCTACGGTAAACGTCTCCTGCCACGAGAAAGTCGTCACAACCCATTCGGAGCAATTCGAGCTGATGCGCAGAAGTGTGGCTACGTAACAATTTCCCTCGTTGGACGTAATAATTATCCGTCTTTGTTCGGCTCGGATGATCAGAGGGGATCAGAAGAGAGTCGAAGTTCTCCTCCGCGCTCACAACCGGGAACATTGAATCGTGTACCGAGAATACGGGATTCCCGCGGGCATTCCGAAACCGGGAATAGAAAAAGTTGAAGATGCGTTGCTTGAGAAGGCAGATGGGATGAAATTGAGTTCTGTGCAAGTCTCTGCCGATCAAAGATGCGATGTGCGGGGTGACGTTGGTCCACTCGTCTCGCACATACGTTTCTGAGCCGATCTTGAGTCGGTTCCCAACACAGTAGTACCTCTTCGGAACGACTCCGCTTAAAAACTTCATCATCAACCTAAATGGAGAAAATTTCAAGGAGCGGTAGTTTTTCCGACTTGGCGATCAATTGGAAGTTGGAATATTCGAAAGTTCGAAGAGAATCATTAGGTGACACCCTTCCCACAGATCGTTTGTTTCTCCAACAGCGAGAAAGATCAAGTACAGGGTGGTCAAATTTATATTTGCGATATATCCTGAATTGGTTGAGTTATCACGATGAAAATTATCGACCATAAAACTATAAAAGTTCACCACTTCTACAGGGGCTCTGAATTCAATTCCAGTAAATTTACAAATTCATCAATTGGCCAAAAATAAGTCGTGGGAATTTTTTTAAATCTTCGAGTGAAGCTGCAGTATCATTGTGAACCGTGGATACATTTTGAAAGGCCTATCTCTCCCAAAACATTAAAAGACGCCAAAATGACAATAACATTTGTACAAATCCAGATCGTCGTCTGACAGTGTCCCTCTAGGTCTAGGAAAACGCAAATAATACTATCTAAGAATTTAACTTTAAATGTAAAATCAGAATTTTTGAAACATACTAAAAACTTCTGAAAACTACAATAGTAATTAAAAATCTGCGGTTTGATGAACAGACATGAGGCGAGTTGAATGGCAAAAATGGAGTGTCATGAAACACCAGGTAACGCTTTCTCCTTCGAACAGTTCTTCAAATATGGTATACAAAAAAGCATATTGCCCTCGATTGTCCCGACTTCGTTTCAAGAGGGAGAAAAGAAAATCGAACCTTTGAGGAGAGGCATCACAACAAGAAAAATATGAAATTCGAACAAATTTGTGGGATTTTTCGCCGAAGTACTGAAAGAGTAACCTAACTTTTGAACGAAAAAAACGCATCACCTCTTCAATGATTCCCTTCAAATTTTCGGACCTACCCCACGTAATGAAGCGAATTCCGAAAGTTTCTTTGCTTCCCGATTTCATTTCAGTGTAGCTTGAAAAGAAACATTTGAACCGAATGCTTGATGTAACCCAGCACAACATGCTACGGAAAAAATAGAAACAACGCGACAAGAAGTAGGAAATCCCGCGGGAAAATCACGAGACAATAGTGGCATCTTCCGCGAAATACGGGATGCCCTCATGTAGAGAGCGCAAAACAACAGCGCCTCTCATTGTGTTCGAGAGTTTTTTATTTGGACCCAGCGATGCTCTTCGTGAACTCGACCAAAGTTCTCACGGGACGACCAGACATTCCCTTTCGCATGTAGATGACTTCGTCCTCATTTCCCATGGTTCCAGCAATATCCATGTGCATCCAATCATTGCACTTTACGAACTCCTGTTGAAACATTCAGCAAAAATTACACCGCTGCATTACATGAGGGGGAAAAACTTGGAAGATCAGAGAAGTGGTCGGGAGAGGCTGCTGTCGCGCTCAGAAACTTTTTGAAAATTTCAGAAAAGGGTTTCCATGAAAATTCATCACCGAAAATAATAAGGCAAGCCAAGTTTGTGTGACTACGTCAATCACCTTCAAGGAAAATGCAGCGTATTCACACGAGGCTTACGATATCTAAAATTTGAAAAAACCATAATACTGTAATTTTTTTAGTATCGGACAAAACGCATAGAAAAAGTTCTTCGAACGGAAAAAACTGATGGGAATAGGGACCCAATGAGGGTTCTGTATTGACAGAAGTGCTCATGATTATTCCAAGCATTTTTCAACAGGAACATATTGCTTTGATATTTGTTACGTTGAAATCGACAACAGAAGAGATTATTTTATTTAAACCCTTGGTTTGTAATTGGTTTTATGGTATGAAAATGTAACTTCATCTTTATTCGGGGTTTGAAAGTCAGGTTGCGGTTTTATAGACGGCATTAAAGGTAAAACGTTTCCGCCTCGTGTGATAACTAATGACTTTATCGGACAGCAGATATCTTCAATACCCTCGAGATTATTTCATATCTAAATACGAAAAATTGGAGGCTCTAATGTCTGTAAGATCATTATTTAATTTCATTCAGATTTTAGCAATTCTAAGTCAACTTTAAAAAAATTTAATGTTCCTTGGCAAGTAGGATTTGATGCTTCAAACTGCAGCAATCGCCAGCTTAACTATATTACTAATAGTTTATCCCATCGAGGAATGAACAAATATTTCAAAATTTGCCTCACATGTAGAAATGCGGCAGCTTTGCAACTCCCACCGACACGGTCATGCTTTCCGATGTTGCATAAATCAGCAATCTGGTCTGGATCTGATACGTCATCTTTATACTTCTTGTAAAGTGGCATGCGCCACACTCGATCCCCAGTGATCCCACCAGCCTTGAACATCGTGTCAAACATAGCATCCGAATTGCAGAACACTCCAGTAGTCGCAGATCCCAGAGCAACCATCATAGCACCTTGGAAAATCATGATTTTGTTTTGGAACAGAAAGTTCAATCCAGCCTCCAAACACATGCAACGAAAGATTTAATCAGCATTTAAATATTGTACGCAAGTTTTCCTCCTCTGCGATAAGTTTTCAAATGGCAAAATACCAAGAACCACGAATACAGCACTTCGAAGCTGGATTAACGCACTCTCATTACTTTCATCTAATTCATGGCCTTGATCTCTCATGTGCTGGTCTGAAGATTCAAGTAATAAATAATCCAAAATAAAGCCAACCAACGATTTAGTGCAACCTTCGCGTAGTGAAACATATTCCTCCGTCAACATATCTCCCCACACAGTACTGGTTTCTTCAGGGAAACCTCAATTTGGTGCCAACTCATGCCACGAACAAATCTTTGTCACGTTCAAAAATTGGATATTTACGGTAATTAGGGCATATTCCGAGGGATATCACTGAGCTACAAAACAATTTTTATAAGAAATCCAAAAAAAAATATTCACCAGTCAAAGTAGCTACGTCAATCAGATATTTCGGCTTGAAATCGCAAGCGTAATCCAAGGCATCACTCAGGATCAATCGGCCTTCCGCATCGGTGTTCAAGACCTGAATGGACTTTCCACTTCGCGATACAACTACGTCCATAACCTTCTGGGCCTTCCCACTTGGCATGTTTTCAACGAGAGGAATGAAGGCCTTGACATAGCTGGGCACTTTCAAGGCAGCCAGAGCATACATGACACCCACGACGACAGCACCACCACCCATATCAGCTCGCATATCGTCCATGATTGAAGAAGGAACCTTTTTTGGTCGAAAACGCGAAAGAAATTTGTAGGCTTCCAATTGTCACAGGAGTCCATCACATTCCTGAGGTTTCCACAAATGCAATGTTAAATTTAAGAACTTGGGATCAGATATAACTTGAAAATGACTTCGTTCACAATTTGATTGATAGCAGTGGCATCTACCAACATAAACGCAATAGAATAATAGACAGTTGTGAAATACGAATAAAATGCGTACAGGATTTGAAACAGGATGTTCTCCCTGAAGTGCATGGATAAATCATCAGTTTCACATGGCAAGTACTGTAATGCCGTATTTTCGTGAATATGAGCACACCTTTTTCCAATTTTAGCTCAAAATCTACAGGGTTGCTTATATTTTGCATTTTCATGCAATTCGCGTAAATATGCACCAACAACATAAAATCGTCCAGTTCGCGTAAGATAAAACAAAAAAGCACTTTTTTAAATTGAATACTTTGAAATCGAAGTTGAAAATAATCGAGAAATGGTCCGCTTTTTGCACTTGAAGATGCATGAGTCATTGACTGTTGGGGTTTTGTGACACCACTTCTTTTCTGGGGGAAAACCTAAATTTTAATCAGAAATTTAAGGCTCCTGGAAACTCAGAACACCATGAAAGTGAGTGGATGCTTATACAAGTATCCGCCTATTGATGGAATTTTATATTTTGTGCATGAAAAATATCGCGCTATTTGCGTAAATACGGCCTTTTAAAATATTTCAAGAATGTATCGCAGGATTTACATTCTGTCCCCAATTCAACAGCAGACTAAGTAAAAAAGATGGACAAAAAATTGGAAACGCGGACGATTTTCACCATGCAAAAATGTTCAATTCATCAATGCTAGATATTGTGAACATTAGCGTCACATAAATATGCATAGTAGTAAATGACTGTAAGCTATGTACATTATTAAAAAAACGCTTTGTTTTCACGATTCCCTGGATGAGGTTTTCCAAAAAATCTACGGTATATTCATGATTCCTGACCTTCAACGAGATACCGCCAGAGTCGAAGCAAACGCCCTTTCCAACAAAAGCTACAGCTGGGTTTGGGGATTCGGCACCCTTCCAAGTGAGTTCCAGAAAGACAGGGGGTTCGTCGGAACCCTTTGCCACCCCGATCATAGCGCCCATTTTCTCCTTCTCAATCCACTTTTGATCGTGAGCCAATACTTCCACCCCGAGTGGTTTCAACAGTTTCTCAGCCTCTCGCGCGAAGATAAGTGGCGTCATGTAGTTGGAAGGCATTTCCATCAACCAGCGAGCCACATTTTGTGCTTTAGCTTTCAGAAAACCCCTCTGCCAATCGTCCGCACTAAAATTGAACACGCAAAACAGTCATTGAACACGAATATTCTCTGAAAATTACTCAGTTTTCTTATGAAGGATGAATGAAAGTCAAAATATGAATACCGTGTCACAAAAAGCCAAGCATTAACCACGCAACTAAACGGTTTTCAAATGTATCTTTTAAATCGATTGCAGAAGGAGCCCCGTATTTTCTGAAGTTCAATTTTCGCAACAACAAAAACGGCGCTATATAATCGAGTAAGAACGGTTATGCAAGAAGTACATCGTAATGCTTCGAGAAGGCATTCAACAAACTCACTCATCACTCATATTGAGTCGAGATACATCCAACTTGGCCTTTTTCTCTGCCCTGAGGTCATCGAAACTCCACAAACCGAGAACCGCTCCTTCAGCAGCGCTTTCTGCATCACCACAAGTATCCACGTTTATGGAAGTCACATGAATACCTTCGAGTGCACGACAGGCAGCTGGAAATTCAAAGATAAAAATCTGGATGATTCGGACAACAAAACAGCTTTGTTGCTCGTCTTACAGGCAATAGCGGAACGAATGTTTTCCTTCTTGGCGTCCACGTGTTCGCGACGGCAATAGCCAGCATTTTTCGGTCCCAAATGCGCAAGAGCTATCGCTGGATATTCTGGACTTAATCCGTAGAGCAATCTCGTATCACCTTTCTCAAATTTTTTGTCAAATCTTATGAGAAAAAAAAACACAATAAAAGTCAGGCCACAGGAAGATCACGCAATATTCTCTTAAAAAAAAACTTACAATGTTGATAAAAGTTGGGAAATGCGTCCATCCACGGTCTTATCTATCTTCACAGCAGAAGGAGTAAGTTCTACAGGGCCCTTCCCTTCGCCGAATCCGCCGAGAACCAAGCTATTCATCTGCGAAATAATGATAAAAAAGCCTTTAAAGGGAATTCCGTTGAAAAATCGCACAAGAGTCACACTTGAAGAAGAGCTTGAGTAATAGTCATAATAGCTTAATGCTTACTGCATTGATCTGGGACCATAAAAATCGAGCAGACCTTAACAGAGCGCTCGAGCGAGAAAAGCTAAATGCAACTGGAGTTGCGAACGCTGCGGCGCGAAAATTCAGCATCATTTCTCGAACTCACCCTGAAAAGTATTTCACGTTCACTGTAAAAGGCGGATACAAATTTCACACGGGAGATCAGCCTGAGAAATTGAGGCGCATTCACAACATTAAAAGATGAACATGTACTCGTTAAAAGACAAACAATCCGTAATAAACCGATACACGAAGAGATATATACCTAGAATAGTCGGAGCTAGGTGAACTGTTATTGGAAAGAGATGGATGTTCTGAAAATCTTCTTTTCGAACACGGCTCGAACCCCAAAAAGGATAAAAGCACGCAAGTGAAAAAGCTTGTGTCAAATTTGCATTTGGAATTTTTTTTAAAGCGGAGTTCGGGGATCACTGAGAAGATGATTCCATTTGGAATGTTTTTTCAAGTAGCTCCAACCATTCTAAAGATATCAACGTTTCAAAATCGGTCATTTTTTCCGGTCAACATTGCATAAAAGCAAGTGCCAGAAAAAATGAAATGAAAAAGACGACGCGGCGCCAGCACGGAAATTTAACAATAATGCTTTAACCCATATCCACGAGCCTTCAACGTCATGGTTTGAACATGGAAAATACAAGGACTAGATCTATTCAGGAACTGGAAGCTTTCGGTTCGTCTTTTCCGGTTTCGGGGTCTTCAAGAAAGGAATCCAACGCAGAGGTATCTTCTTCGACAGTCACATCTTCTAACTTCAAACGGCTCGCATGATCAGAATGATCCAGTTGGCGCAGTCTTCCGGATCGTTTGTAATCTTCAATTTCTTCTTCGAACGCTTGTTTGAACACGGCCTGTCTCTCTTTCAAAGCGATTTCTTCTCTTTCTTGCTGCAATCGCAAATTTTCCGCATGCTCCCTAGCCAAACACGCTAAAAAATCGAAGAGAAGCGTAATGATAACAATCATTTCTTGAAATTACTATCAGTCAGAACACAAAAAGACTCTTACATCTAAGATCTTTCAGATTCCCCAATTTCTTCTCCTTGTAAAGTGCGAACTGGAATCGGTGATCCAATTGTTTCTCTCGCAACGCTTGAGTTTCTTGAATATCTTCCAAATGCATCATCGCGTCTTCGACTTCTTCGAATAAACCTTGGAGGATACCTACAAAGTAGAATGTTTCAAACCATTAGGAACATTTTACTGATATTAGAATATCTGAAAGAGGATTAGGTAATCAATAAATACTCGTATCAAAGCCAATTTAGCTCAAAAAACTTGAATTATTGCTACTTTTTTCTCCAATAAAGGTTTGATTTTACGAGAGGGCAAGACCATTTATGACACACATTAAGCTTTAAAAATCCCACAATTTCTACTGTCAGGAAACTGAAAGAACAAAACTGATGAAGACGATAATCTCCAGTAATCCGCAGATTGCAAATGATATCTCACACAACATTTTTTTACACATCCGGAATAGCAAGAAATCTCACCAATGCTTTCCAAAGCTTGATCAACCATGTCAACCAGACCGGGTAGAGCAGCCAAATGGCGATTCAATTGATGAATAGTTTCCCATTGGGATTCTAACCAGCTGTGTAAATCGCAAATTTGTCTGTCGATTGATCTGGCCTTCCCAGCATTTGATTCCGTTGCGACATGAATCCCTGCCCATTCTGTCTGGTAATGATGCAGAAGATCTGCCCCGCAATTTGGATCGAAATTTGCGTTGACTGTGGACCCGCTTCTTGCTTTGAACTTGTTCACTTCACCCACTGACAAACCTTTGAAGCTGCAAATTGGGATGAATCTATGTTCAATTTAACGGAGGAAAAAACTCACCTTGCGCTGAGACCTTCTTGGACTACGCTCAATCGTTCTTTCAATGAACCGAACATGACATCGGTAGACTTGCAAAGCCTGACGAAACGAAAATTGTTTTGCGAAGTTATTAATCATCACTTCTATCACAGGCAGAGAAAAATCGGGCTAAATAAGAGCAAGTCTCATTTCGGCTCTGCCAGACGTTCTTGTTTGTTTCGCATTTAAAAAGATTTAGACAACGTGATGGGAGATTATAATACAGTACACAACTTCAAATCACTCATCATCCCTCCTTCAACTCATCAATTATTGTTCCCAAAACAAGCACGGAAGAAAAGCCTGGCGCTGTAATTAAAACAAATCGTGTGCTCTTTGCTCGATTTCATCGCGCTTGAACAAAAACGGTTTCTTGGGGAAAAAGTCCGACATCACGTAGGGTGGATTCCTTTGGCATTTCTGAAATATTCTTCCTCGGAAACGCTGTAACAATTTCGTACTTCGATGGTGGGAAGCCAAGGAACTCAGCGTAGACAATCACAGCCTGTAAAAAATGAAAAAAATAAAAATATCAAGAACATTCAATCGTTCTTCGGGCTGACGAATGAACGAAAGGACAATTCTTCAACACTAATAAGAACGAAGAACTGACAATACTGCAAAATTAATTGTGGTCTATTAATTTTCCAGAGAGCGCAATATCAAAAGGAAGAATCGCCTCATAATGTAAGATCGGCGTCATCGCAAAAAATGACGAACGCAACTTTGTACCATCAAGGGTACTTTTTTGTCATAAGTGCCTCGGAAATATCATAGAACCTTGAAGCTTAGGTTAACACCGCATTCAAGCAAATTTTGAGTTATTGATAAGAAACAAAACCTCACAGGTTGAGCTTTACTCTTCTCCGATTCACCAATTAAGAAGAGGATTTTCTATATTTTCAGGAACGTCGTAAAAATATTACAAATCAATTTCTTTGCCAGTTGAATGCACATTTTGCATACACTGTTGAAGCATCCGCACTATTCGGTCATTGGGCCAAAACAAGTCTCTGTCTCGAAACGAAGTTCTATAAAATTTTACTGACTGAACCGAACACTTGAATAAGCTATTGAAATGACCCCACTCAAAACCAGACCAGATTTTAGAATGAACACAAACTCTTGTGATGAAAGCGCAGTATTCTCTATACAGGCATTGGGGTATAAATGCAGGTGAACTCTCTCCACAACGAATTCCAGAAGAAAATTATTGCGAAGAACTCCCATGAGACCAAACAAAAATTCGTTATACAGCACGAAGACATTATTTGTAGAAAGAATCTACATGAATAAATTGTACTGTACTAGCGTACATGAATCAATCTCAAGGATGACTTACTTGTATTTGAGAACTACAAGGCATAGAGATGTGTATTTTTTTGCCATCTGGCAAACGAAGCAGCAGTCGTGATTCCGGATCATCAGGATTCCCGGCAAATTCTCTCCAAGCATCTTCTCCTTGCAACTTAGACGTACACATGGCCTCATTCAAATTTCTTTTGGCAGACGCTGTTGACGATTCGCCCACTTCTTTTGATGTCGACCCAGAGCCACTGGCCTTACTCGAGAAAAATGGTGATGGAAAGCTCGAGTTCGTATCATCATCCGTGAATGCATCAATATCACTGTTGGGCTCGGATTCAAGCTTCCCCACGTCCTCAATATGCTTCTCCTCTAAAGATGCCCTGATGGCAGCTTCCAACTGACTGTCTTCGCTCATGTCAATCAAGAGCCGATCCTGAGAACCACCCGTGCGAGGCCGCTTTGGAGGCCCACTAGAATCTGAAGGAGCAGAATGCTCGCTCAAAAAGTCCGTCAAGGCATTCAGAATAATGCCGGGACTGTCGTCGTGCCACTGAGCGAGATTCTCTCCAGTTCGTGGGTCAAGCACAGCAATGTAAGGCCATTTAGTCACTGGATAAAACATTGAAAAGCGTTCACCGTCGTCAGTATCATTGTATGCCTGCCAGAAGACGAAGTGTTCCCGAACGAGCTTTTTGATCCTTTTATCAGACCACACATCTCTGTTTAGAACTTGGCACTTGAACTCCTGGTTGTTCTGGATATTGACCAGCAACCACCGGTTCTCCCTTGCACCAAATTCTTTCGCTTCGTCGAATGAACCTGTGAATATCAGATCGATCGGCGGCCGGAAAATGTCTTCTAACCGATTCAACTTGGAATTGTCGTATCCCGGGGGCAGTCCTCGACGCAGTCTGTCTTCTCGCTCACGGGTTTCAGCTTGGAAGTCCCGCAACCCTCGTACCGTCGTCGAAAAACGAGAATTCCTGATGCGCTGGCGGCCATTTACGGCTGAGTAGTGCAGACCATCAACAAGTACTCCCCTAGTAGGCAAAATCGGTGCACGCAGATTGTCCGAGTCATCGTCTTTATGCGGATCGTTCTCCAGTGATGGTCCGGCGTCGAATGCCGTCGATGACGATGATGAACCTGACGGAGCGGACAGTTCCGCTAATGCCACCGCGGGCTCATCGCTTTCCATGAGCATGTTTATAGCCATTGCAAGATTTCCCGAACAAGCTTCAAGCAGAGATTTCGCAGTCTCTTCCGGGGCACCTTAAAGAAAAAAAATATATCAATAATATTGGGTACAGTATTCGGCATCTAGTCAAGCATCTTGAAATGACTTCCACCTCAGACAGACTTTAACGCATTCGCATGGCTTTGATGCAGTTCTTGCGATACCATTCCAGCGAGCAAACAAAGAAAAGGATTTTATATCTAGAAAGATGCGGGATATGGATTATTAAAAACATTGCGACTCGTCGGTTGTCTTCAAATGGTCGAGTTCTGAGCACTCGATATAAATTGGAAACGCCACACAGAAAACCCACAGCAAGGTAAAATGAATCAAAATACAGTTATAAAAAAATGCTTCGGCAGGAATAAATCCATTCGCAGAAATGCCATCTGGTAAACGTAAACATGCAATATAACAACATAAACATACCCGTTATCGTGCAAAACTGCTCAACAAGCTCAGTGGTTTCATTTGACTCGCTTGAGGCTCCATTCTCTCCAGCAGAGGCCATACTTTTACCACAACACGCTCTGCTTTGCAGAGGTCAAAAAATTCTGGAGAGGAAAAAGTAGCCAAATCTCGCATTAATCCATCGTCGCGGAAACAGCGGGAAGCATGAACTCAAGAATTCCGCTCAAGCTCCTAAAGATGACAAAAGAATGTTCAAAGCGTCAACTTCGAACCACAAAGGTTCTATTTCGACTTGCGCAGGGGAAATCGAAGAACGTCATGCAAATGTGCGCCGAGATCTCCTCGCGAGTTCCAAGCAGATTAAGCGCGTAACACCCTTGGGAAAAGATCGGCCCCTCGATAATTAACGGCGAGAGTAGCATCCCATTTCAACCGAAATTGCGCAGACAGCTCGAGGATTAAGCGACAACGAACATGTAGGGCAATAGACGTATCACAACTATGAAAGCGCCTATTCAGACTAGAGCAAGCTCTCCCGACACTCGATGCTCGCACCGCTATACACAAAACGACAATATTTCCTTCAGCATACATTCATAAACCCACTGACCAGGAACTCGTGGATAGCTTTTGGAATGCCCCATCAACTCTGCACGACACCTACGGAAGGATTTCATTGTCAACATCTCAGATCCTCTTCTAGCAAGAGGACGCCAGATCATGTCCGATTGGCGCATACAGAGAAAGCAGTATACAGGCAACTGTCGGATAGAAAATCGAGAGCCGACTCAAATTACACAGCGCGTATCAACCAACTTGATCTACAAACCCCACACACTGTACTGTACGGGTGTTCAGTATTATGAACCACAGAAACTATCATCATATACAGCCCTTCATTCAGTCACTTTCGCGAATTTTCTTAATTCATTACCAATTCTTCGAAGAATATTTCTGCAAATCAATTGGCTCTAATTTTTATTTATTCATATTCAATTAATGCTGGCAAAATCAAAATAAATTCTGCATACACAGTACATTAGCTTCTTGCGGTGTGTAATCCTGGATCTTCGCGCAGTCGATGAACATACCTGATCCAATCAGTGCGGGAAATAAACTGTGGTTGTGCGCGGAGTTCCCTTGTGTGAACCGTAAATCCGGACCCACTTCGTTTTCCTTGGAAGGTTCTGTTGTAAAATAGCACTACCTGTACCGCCCTGTCTTTCCAGTGCAGTAATTGAGGAAACTGCTGTTAACTATATATGAGTATACTGTACAGTACATTCTGAAATTGATACTATACCACTGTACTGTATATACAGTATTCAGCATACAATCAAGTTGTAATCAATGAATTGATAAATGTGATCTTATTTGTAGAAGCATATGCTCCATATTACTACATGATTTGAATCCTAAATTTGAACAGTGAGCCAGAAATAAAAGACGAGCATTCATGCGTATACCGCTGATAATCTTCGGTCATATAAATTTTAGGCAAGACCAATTTACTGTAATTTCTTTGATAAGCGGGCTCAAGACTTATATATATGAAGTTGAAATCTGCGAAACTTTCCCCATATAGATTGTAAAGAACACCCAGAAAATACAGAATTTGCACCAATTTGCTGGCATTTTATATTTTTGAAATTCTAATGCGCATCAGAATTCATGGAAAACCCACCAATATTCATTCCCGTAATACAAGTATCTCGGCACAGCATTCGTGGATTCAGTACAAAAGAAACCTCGTCTCTCCCATCATTTTTATATTTTTATTCAAGGGCAATTCGAGATCAGTTCATCATGAGAAGTCCAGAGAATACAGATTTGATTTAACAGCTGCTATTCCCTCCATTGCCAATAACAATAAAAGACTTGCCGAATTAAAATTTGCCTTTTTACCTCAAGCATCACTTTCAATGAGCTCATACTATTAACAGTAACCCCATTTTCCGCAGATTAAAACACATATATTGTATGAGTTCGAAATTATGGCTATTATAATAAAAATGAAAGAACGCAATAATGATTGGAAATCCTCAGTTATTTTTCTAAGCGCAAAATAATTACGAAACATTCACAGTTTTTCCCCCGAGAAATCCAATCTCATATTGTTAAATTCCCGTATCGTTCACTGAAACCTGCACCAAAACAGAATTCCCGTCACCTCAGCAGCAGCAAGGAAAACAATGATACTGCACTCAGATCATCTGACGGATTTCAAATTGCAAATCGGATTCAAAAAGATTCCCAAAATACACATGTACGATGCATAATTCATCAGGGTCGTGTTATTGAATCAACCCCATCAATTGCCGTTTTGGTTCGCTTCGGCATCTTCAAACGGGAAAGCCGGGATTTCCGGACTTCCTTTGAACAGGATCTTGTCATCTGAACGGAACACCAAGAGTTGATTTTGCAGAAGTCTCCCGCGAACTTTGCACCAGATGAAAGCATTCGTCAGCCCCAGGATTTGCGCTGCTTGCAAAGCGGCAGTTTGTGGAAACATCACCGTACTGCAGCCCAAACCTAAATAAAGCACATAAATTCATAAATACATGTGCTAAAATTTTGGGTTAAAACACGAAGTCCAACAGAGATAAAAAAAATAATGAGATTACAATAAGGCACTAACAAATTTAAAAAAATCGGATTCTAATTTTCGTATACAAGTTTTTTCTTTCATTTTTTTAACGTCAGCTTATAATAGTCTTTTTCTGCGATGAAATCAATTGGTGCAAGCATTTGAGGGATTCGGATTCTTCACTCGCAGAATGTATGTAGGTTTCTTTGAATATGGCAATTTTTAACGTGATATCCTTCCCGTTTGCCCCAGGTACCTCTATAATTTTTCTTGAAGAAATGAACATTCCCAGGAACGTAAGGAAGTACGGAAACGAATATTTATACCTGATGGTACTCGAAGAGAGGACCACACATCAGAAGATGACCATTGCTCGTCTGGTGGAGGACAGTTCATGACAGGGATGCAGGAATTGGCAGAAATTACTGGTCCCAGACCATTGCTTCTGCCGGCAACAGCGATCACAACAGTTGAAATACCATCGCCTGCGAATTGTGAATTTCAGGATTATAAATCAATTCTGGAATACCCGTCGTAAAATCGTCTTTTCAAAAATTGAGAAAATATTATGCGCGCGCGCCGCAAGTCATTGATGCTTGCTAGTTCATCGCCAGTATAGCGGCAACTCGTTCGTCATATGTTTTCTCCCCCAATTTTTATAAAAATCGGTTGGCGATGATGATTAAAAAAATTAAAAACGGCAAAAAAATAGCGACCCGCGAAATTTCTAAAAAAAAACCGATAAATATAATTTTACAAGCTTCATTGGCTGAGAATCCAAAAATTCAACTCTCCATAAAACACAGATCAATATATCTTTCAAAACGCTCTCAATTTAACACGATTTATCATCATGATTCATTTGCGAAAAAAAGTTGAAATTAAATTCTGAGAATAAGTTCACCTTGTTGTCCATGCTGTCCCCATACCGCAGTGACTCAAGATTCAGTTGAAAAAATTCAGGGAAATTCATGCAATGGCCGAAAATCCCAAATAAGAAATAAACCCTTCCATAAAATGGCGATAATCATATCACTCACCCTCATACTTTGAGATCAAGTCCAAAGTGGCTGTTGTGGTTTTATGAGCAGATGCCACATGAAGGTGAACAGGACCAACGCCGAGGTTCATGCACTCCATCCTGATTTTCTCGCAAAACGGCATATCGGCCTCTGATCCCATAACCAAAATAACCTTGAAAATAAAGAAAGAACCCATCATACACTCAAAGAATTGTTGAAGTTGGATTCCATTATGAATAATAAAAAAGAACATTTTCATGAATTAACAGTCAAACATGATTGCGGAGATAAATAACTTCCGTATTTTAAATGAACATCGGATAGTGTTCAACAATATCGGAGGAATAAGTGGCTCATCTTTTCAAATCGAAGCGAGATCATCGAAGCATGAAAATATTTCGGAACATGAACAAAGCACACATTAGCGAAAACAATCCTGGATTCAGCTGAAACGAGTCGCTTTTCTTTCAAGAAAATTAAGATTATTTTTAAATGGGGTGATTGTGATTCATGTTCCAAAATGATTTGAAGCCGGCTTTTCGTTGACTAAGCGCACCATACAAATTGAAGACATTTTCATCAGAGGAAAAAAGTTTGAATGCAAATTAAACAACTCAACCTTCCAATGAAGGATAAAACAGAGAAATTGATTATACTGTGCATCATTAAAAAAGGAAATTAATTTAAAATAAACTTTGAATTCAGGGTTTCCGCATTGAATCTTTGTTGAACAGAGAGTTCCTATTTTTATCCAACTCCAGAAAAAAGTGTTATTTTTTTATGCGACAAAGAAGGAGCTTCTTATGCAAACTTCAACGGAATTTTCCGAAATAATCGGGGTCTACGTACTTGGGGGGGAAAAAATCAACAACTGTGCTCGTCTATTCTTATATAGAACTGCAGTTGGAGAAAATGCGAGGAACATACATGCTGAATAAGAGTCGCAAAAAAATAAAGAGGGTTGCACTTCTTACACGACAGATCGGGCGCGGAACAAAGGTTTCCAGTTGTTCAGCAACCCATTTGAAGTTCTTGAGAACTGTCGCCAGGCCATCAGCTGTCACAACATCCATTCGCCTGTACAATTCCTTGTCTTTCATGAGTCGCTGGTCCCCCTCAGGCCACAAGCGCCAAGAATCATTGTCAATCACGTCCGCAAGCAGAAGTTCACCTAAACATAAATCATTCAAAACATTATTTAGGGACAGCATAGAACACACAAATTAAAAAGAGCACAAAAAAGTCTTGTACTTTTTCGAATAAAATTTGTCCTGTCTCGAGATTTTTGTTTGACAAAAAAAAAGAATCCGAGCGGCGAAATTTCAAACCTGTAGTGTCGTCGATGCCAAACTCGATTTTCATGTCGACCAAAACGCAATTTTTAGTCGACCATGCCTTTTCCAGACACTCGAATATAGCTCGGGATCCTTCGATCATTTGCCTCAGATATGAAATGGAATCCAGGCGAAATTCCCCGTTGGGTAATTTAACCTTCAGCTGTCCAACTTCTTCAAAGCTCCATTCCGGATCATTCTGAGCATCATCCTGGAATTAATAAAAAGGTTTTCAAAATTGGAATCTGTATTAGCATATTTTAATGAAGTTCATTTTCGTATCCGAGATTCTGAGTAAGAATGAACACGGTTCCAAGAATTTAAAAAGATGTATAATTTAATCTGATGAGAATTGTTTTTCGTGGCACCAACTATAGGACAACTTCTGGCTCTATGATTGATAATTGAGGATAACCCTCACTTTCAGAACCAGTTGCAAGAAAAATCGTCAAGATCAGATATTTTGATTGGAATAAGGTTGTCAGATATGATTACTGTCCTGTGCAGTGAAGCCCCGAAATAATGAAAATTTGACTTACGGACAGTTCAAACTCAGAAACTCTGCCCCAAATCTAAATCTGTACAATGCCTCAAACTATGGACGCTCCCAAAATTTTACGAAAAAATGGATAATTTTCAAAATGTTTATACCTCTGGAAAAATTTCAACTCTACTGCCATGGGAATGAAGCCAATTGCTAAAAATATTTTAAATACTGCCCTTAATCAGTGACATTTCTTGAGCGTCGGAAAATTCATGGAACACGAAAACCAAATTACAGCCACTGTAATTTTAAAGATGTTACAATACAGTACTGTACTGTATAATGATTTCCTAATTTATTTCCTAAACATGATTCGACAGAAAATTGAGTTAATAAATGAACCGGCAAAGTTTTTTTTCTTCAATTTTCCGATTTAGTTTCGTGAAAACCGATGAAAATTCATGAATGATAACTGGAATTTAGAAGTTTCCGTATGATGAAATCGCTTTCGAGAATAGTACTGTACTTGAAAATATTCAAAATAAGCTTCTTTATTTTCATAATTTTACGTGGAATGATTTTTCAAAATTAGATGAGCTGCAGTTCACCTCAGTTAATGCCGCTGTATACGAGATAGAAAAAATTTCCATTTCGTATACAGACGTGGAATCTCCCCTATTCAATAAAAAAATAATAATAATGCAAACACGGTAACGTCCAATGTTATCTTTTCTCCTAACGAAGCTGATTTATAATACCTGAACACTTCATTTAAAATTTTGTACAGCATTATGCCCGATAACAATGAGAAGACAAGGATAGAAAGTTAAATAATTCGTTCCACGGAGCAAGATTCCCAAGGGTTCATTCCATCCCTGTTACGCAAGCCAAACCTATTTTGAGAAATGGATTATCATCTCTCCTGATTCATAATTCAGTCTGCCGGGAATCACCCTCTGCCGACAGCAACCGACAGAATTGTCTCTTTTTAAACATTCTACGCGATTTCCATCAAGGACGTGAGAATAAAATAGTCTTTTCTCGTAATTCAAAAATGACAAGTAGATGTCACCTGAATCACAAGCCTAGCCAAGGCCACAATCTGAATACAATTTTCATTTATCAACAAATTATAAATGCCGACAGTGATACAAATTCAATCGAGCTTTTACAAGAAAAAAATTATAGTACTATATTCAACTTTTCAAAATTTTCGAATTTAATTATTCAATTTTCAAACATGACATACTGCTGTGGCATTAAAATGGATTTAGTAGCCTAGAACAAATCACGCTTTTGATTGTTCGTTTTAATAAAAAAATTGATCGCATTCAAACCTCGCAGAAAATCACTAGAATACAGAGCCTGCGGAATCACTCATAGAAGGATCTCGAAGAGAATGGAAACGCCAAGGAACGCCACTTTTTCGGTCAAAAAGTAAAATTATTCTACAGTTAGGAGAAAACTGTTCATATCACCTGAAAAATAAAGAAAATCAATCAAAACGAACCTTGAAAAAAGTCTCGACCCGGGGAGGGCAGAACCGGTGCCCCTCCTTTATTGTAACATGGCGCTTAAGAAATGAGCCGGTTGCGATGCGTCGGATAACGAACTCGATTGGAATCATTGTGCATTTCCTGGCCAAGAAAGCGTTGTCTCCGAAAATCTCAACGAGATGCGAATTGATCCCTGGAATCGATAAACAACAAGTGCATGGATATCGTGAACATGTAACAAAAAGGGTCCCCCCCAACAACCTCCTCATAATCGAAGTCTACGATCTTATTTTGCCCCAATCATGCATCCCTTCGATTGAAACTCGATGAAACGAATAATTTTTCATTTGGGCGCATTGAAGAATTTCTGCTCATATGTAGTAGCTAGGATGAGTAAAAAAATCATGAATTTCCGGCGTCGTTGTTATTCTCGCCAAGGATTGATGAAACATTTTTCTCAGCGAGGTCGTTATACTAACTAAAAAAAAAAAAAAAAGAGAAAACAAATTATCATTAATGACACTCACCAACGGATCGAAGAAAATGGAAGATCCTCACTGCAGTTTTATTGGCAATAATTGCCTTCCCGGTCAACTCGTGAGATTTGGAACCTCCAAATGCCGTGAGCTGATCTTTAGACTCGACAATTACCAGCTCCGGGTTTTCTTTGACGCTGTAAATCTTTTTGGTTTTTCCTTCCGCCAAGAGCTCATCCTTGCTGATCTGAGGCATGGTGTCGATTTGGATCCCACCGAGATATCCTCTGACGTTCTAAATAAAGCTTTTGCACTTCAGCGACGATATCACGTGAACAGAGATCGATCAGCTTCACGGAGCTTCCTTGAAAATCCTACGAGAAACGACAGTTTCATTGCATTGCAAAAGATTGCCACAAATTCTTTCTTTTCGCAGGCAGCAACGGAAAAATTGAATCATAAGAAATAAAAATCTTACAACACTTATTCTCATATGTTAAGTCAACAAACTGAAGACAGCAAACAAAATAAGCCTCATCGTCGTTTTAGTCCTGACCTGTCCGAAATTGAACGGTCAATTGAACCTAAATTTGACTTGCGCAGTTCAGTATTAATATAATGTACTGCTGCATGTATATATACAGTACATCAGTACAGTAGTGAAACAAAATCGTATTTAGGCGGCCCATAAACTAATGCTGCGAATTACGTTTTGGAATACGGGCACGTAGAAACGATGAGAAGATTCTGAAGCAGATATGAAATAGAAAATGGAATTTTTCCATCGGTTACAGAGGAGGTTATACAGTGTTATTCGTTGAATTGTTACTTCATATTCGCTGATCAGCTTTCACTCCTTTTTTCATCACAGCTTTTCGAAAAAAAATTATTGCACAGTACTCTTATGGCTTTCTTGACCCATTAATTATTTAATCTTCCCAAAAAATGTCCGCTTCGGCGCATTTTTTTTGTCAACATAAAGTCGCAACTTATTCTGCTGAACTTATTCGTATTCCGGGAAATTTTGGGAAAAATAAATATGGTACATTGGGAGTTCCATGCCAGATCACACTATGAATTGCCCTGATGGAAATATCGTCGAAAATTATGAGATAATACAGGTGAACACAATTTTTCGTCATATGGCATACTGCTGTATTCTGTATATATTTGCATGCAATATCAGCAGTACTGTAAAGGAGGGAGAGAAAAATGGAAACAACATGCTGGACACGATTCCGACACCCATTGTTTATACAAATCACACACAAATATATATTCTCATGATGCATTATGAAATGCAATTGTCAATATTCACTGCACAACGATCTATGCAATAACTATGGATAGCCATTCTCCATCACTTTCCTTTGTGCTGGTTCTCGTGGAAAACAGACGTGATCCTTTTCACAAGCAAGATTACACTCATTCATAAAATATGCAAACAAGATCCGGAAACAGGCTTGGAAGTCGCGGACCATGTTCGAAAAGAATAATACTAAAAGGCGAAAGCCCTGAGGCGAACTACGACCGAAGTTGCAGGAGGAACATCTGCGGCAAAGGCGCTTTCGCTCACGCAGACGCGCTTCTTCACTCGGCGGATGACTACGAAATGGGGAGTGAGTGAGGCCTTCAGAACAATGGAACACCAAACCCTCATGGGATCATGCACTGTTCACACCGAGACCACGACTATTAACACGAAAAACCACGCGTGAGGGAGGGTTGGGTGGTATCACTCTCTCGGCAGTCTCGGGGTTGAATTCCTTGCCTCCCCCCTCCGGGTTCACCTCCCCTTTTTTGTTCTTTTTTAAACCAGCCGCCGGGTAACGTTCTGTTAATTTCTCATTGAACTCTTCTACTCCACTCTTAGGCCTAGGTGGCTGGTGGAGTGACATCTACATATTCTACTCATTTATTGAATCGGTATTATTCATTGTTCCCACCAAATCAAATGCCTGCTAGATGATGACCGTTGATTTTCTGCTAGAAATCGCCGCAAGAAAACTTCTGGTTGACGTAAGAATCAAGTTGAGGTACGGAAGTGGAGAACGTTGCCGGAGCTCTACTTGAGCGAAGTTACGTAATTTTATCTGTTCCGGTAATTGTAATTTGATGAAAATCTCCAATGTACAGTAAGAGTTGCTAGCTGTCGATTCAAACGCACGCTGTTAGAGAGGTAGCTAACGTAATGTATTTGGTTTTCAACACAGGACAACTCTACAAATAGTATTGAGATATTCGGTTCCCGTCACTTGGGTGATTTGAGATGTTGTTGGTTCCGCGGCTGGCGAGAGACTGAGGCCTAGCCAGTGCTGGCTATGTGGCAGGCAGGACCCTTACTGTACTGTAATTTCTTTGGGTTTGTGGGGCAGAGATGATCACCAAGCTTTTCGCGAGGTGCCAATTAACTGTCGCATCAATCTTTGTGGAGTGTCGACCGCCAATCTACAAGTCTTATTCCGAACGTTGTTGCGTAGCGAAAGCATTTGCTTCGTTCCGTGGAAATGCTGACCCGAAGAAAGGAAGAAAATATCAAAAGTTGGATCCATTCGATGATGCTAGAGAACATTGCAAAATAGTTCTGTCTGTTGCGAATGAACATCGTATGCGGTCTATTGAAGAATGGATGGATATTGAGCGAGCTTCTCTAGGCATACGCTGGGGGAAAGTGTCCATCAGCGAGTCCAACTTTCCCGGTATTATATTGCGTGAATGTGTAAAAACAAAGAACTATGTCGCTGCCAAATCATTGATGCAGTACGTGGATCACCTGGATGAAGATAAGGGTGGGGCAGATTCCCGAATCGGACTTAGAACTTTGTACATGAGAATGTTCAGTTCAGCGGTGGGATTCGACGTGGAAAAAGAGGTCTTACGGACCTATCTCAAATTACCTAAAGAAGCTATCATTTCCCATCCAGCTGCCGCCCTAGATGCCATTGCCGGTTTGAGCATGACTTCGAGATGGGAGGACGGTCTGAAGCTCTGTAGTTCTCTCGATACACTTGATCCAGTCCATGCTTCTAGCGGACGATGCTATCTTGCCAAACGGTTTTTCAATGAAGATCAACCTGAGGAAGGTTGGGATTTATTGAAACAGTTGGACTTAGGTATCGTGCCACGAGATGTTCTCAACGATGTTTGCTTGGCGTGGATGTCGTTTTGCTTGAGAATACGACAAAAGAAACCATCTGGAAGAAGGAAAGCTCTTGTTTCTGATGCTGTCGAGGTATTTTATGGATTTGGTCATCCAAATTTGTGCCGTGCAGATTCCGTTCTCCCTAGAATGTCTCAATGATAGAACGGTTGCTGGAATTCCTAGCGAACGGTCAGCAAATATTATCAAGAGATCTTGCGGAATCCATAATGAATTGGTATCGGACTGACCCGTCAACGACGTGGATCGTTGATGAATGCAACATCAATCCTGCGTAAGAATCAAAAGATTAACACAGTATTCTGCGGTGTTTATTTGCACGTTTTTGCAGTTCCCGCGCATGCAGTGCGTGCGATCGGCGTCTCCCCTTATCTGAATTATCTGATGGAGATTTTTTCGAGCTGCGTTCGAAGTTTCTCAGTCAGGTTTTGACAGGGAACGATGTTTATCAAAGGTCAACTCCTTTGGAATTGGAACGATTTAGAAAGTTCGTTGAGAATTCAGCTCCTTTTGACCTTGTTGTGGACGGCTTGAATGTCTTCTACGCCTCCGGTACTCGTAATCAGGAAGATGGAATGAAAAGGGTAATTTCCAATGGCGTTTTTTCGCCGGTAACAGTGGTCTGAATGATATTCATCACTGGTACAGCTCGCCAAGATCGTCGACTACTATGCTGTTGGACAGCGCAAACGTGTTGCTGTGATCGGGAGAAAACATCTCACGAAGAACTTTTCAGATACCGTCAAATTCATTCGAAAGCATTCGCTCTTCTTTACTTTGGACAGCCTGTGAGTGAGCTACATTTTCAGAAATTCCATTCCAGCAACGCGCTGTAGTAATTCGACTTGGTATCGATGGCGAATTGATTATCTCAACATTCCGCTGCACAATTTCAGTTCTACTTGTACAGTCTCTTCTGTAAACAAACTGCATCTCTACAGTAGAAAAACTTCGTATGAATTTGAATCGATCTTGACGTTTGTGTTGTATTTCTAGATCTTCAGATGACTTGTTCATCGTGTACACGGCAATGTACAGTGGACAGCATTGTTTCATCTTGAGTCGTGACTTGATGAAAAATCATGGTGCCAAATTGCGAGGCGATCGCTTGAGGAGCTTATACAACACATGGTTACGTTCTCGCCTCATACAATTTGTTGACATATTGCCTGCGGGTCGTTTGGTCTATCAGGTAAAGCTTCTTGAAAATGCATACTGAGTAGATTCGCTATAGAATTATTGTTTCTTCTTCTTTTTTTTTTACCCCAAAGCCACCATGTCTTCATCCTATGCATGTCACGAAAACGGATCCAAACTGCTGGCATTTACCTGTGCAGCCTTCACCCAGAAATGTCTCGGAGTGGATTTGCATCCGTCCGCGGTCAAATATTGAACAGTGATCTAGAAATTGCTCGTTAATTTCGTTCGTCATAGAGATTAACTTCCTTTGAAATTCAAGGCGTTTTTTTTCCTTCGTTCCCAGGGAAATCGACAAATTTTAGATGCAAACATTGTGCAGAAACGCGCGCGTTTCGTCACCAAGATATTCACGATAGTTGTTATAATCTGCATCTAAAATGTCTGACCTGGAAACCGAAAACAGAGTAAGTGTTCTTTTAATTTTTATCGAAATTTTCTGATATTGATGGATATTTCCTGGGTGGTTTTAGGTTACCGAACTCTTGAACCAAACTGGGCTTGTGCATGAAGGCCCAAAGCGAATCAAGATCATTGCTGAATTGAAAGAACTTCTTCTCCATCGTGCACCAGATCTGTTCTTGAAATACTCGGAGGAAATTTTAGCATTCCAGAATGATCCTGCTCCGGACGTCCGGAAAATGGCTTTGGGATTTTTCGAAGAAGCCTGGTAAGATTTTAGGGTTATTCAAAGACTATAAAAGGAGTACAATCAAATCAAGAAACTTTCCGAATGGTTTATGCTACCAAATTCTGAGAATTTCAATTTGAAAACCACGTGTTCTTGTACGAGGCTTAAACTTCTGGGTATCGTCCGATCTTCTAGCCAAAAGAAGGAGTCTTTCCTACGGATGGTTGTTCCTGCCCTGCAAAACATTATATTCAACGACGAAAACCCCAATGTGTTGAAGAAAGCGATGCAAGTTGCTTGTGGGCTTTTCAAGAATGGATTGAAATGGGTTTCAACTGCACTGCCGGAAGAAATGAAAGATGCTGTCGGTGCCTGGGAAACGCTGAGCACGCTTAGAGACTACCTCGTTAAACAGATTGATTCTGACAATGACGGGTTGGATTAATAATTTTCTTGAGTTTCAGTGATATGTGCGTCTTGATAATTCTTTAAAATGCCCTTTTACAGTATTCGAACTCATGCGATCAAGTTCATGGAAGCTGTTATTCTGACGCTGACGCACTCTCCTGATGGGAAAGCGAAAGCTTCGGAAATTTGTCTGGACATTGTTCCTCTGAATTTGCGTGCTGTCAGACCGCGGAAGCTTGAAGAAGATGCCAAGTAAGTTATTAAATACCATTCGAAGGTTGATGAGAAAATTAGGGCATTTTTATTGCTTGTATGCATTCCACGTAAGGTATAATTTTTACCCATCATGCGAAATCATTATGTATTTGTGTCTGATGGGTCAAATTGGAACATCGATGTGCCCATTCAACTGCATCTTTTAACATTTCCATCTTGAATTGTGGAAATTGGAAGATCCATTGAGGGAGTACATTATATAATGCCATTTAAATTAGTTTCATCGTTAAATTTTCTTAATGACTGGAACGGAATGATCGGCGGAATTCTCTATACAACCCTTCATATAAGAACCTTCAGACATTTCTGCGATCGTATATTTGCGTCGATTCGACGATTTGTTCTATACTGTACTTCTACTGTACTTCTGTATATCTCGTACTTTTTCAGGCGAATACTTGAAAGCTTACTGAAGTTCCATTCAAGTCTGCACATCTCTTCTGTAAACTTGATGGCAACGATGGCTGCATTGACGAATATCGCCAAAATGCGACCCGTATTTTTATCTACTGTTGTGCTGGCCATGCAAGGATTGAACAGTGAGTTGTGTGATTGGTAGAACTTCGTTAGTAGACCAATGAATTTGACTTCCTAATTTTTCAGGTCATCTTCCTCCTACGCTTGGAAAGAGCCAAGTGAGCTCAGTTCGCAAAATGATGAAAGTTCATATGATGGCATTGTTGAAGCTTCCTGCTGCGATGGATCATATTACCGCAATCACTGCGCTTTTGAATGAGCTTGGAGCTACTTATCAAGAGGTAAAAATATAAATCTTTTTGTGTCATTTTACTGGAAGGGCAAGAAAAGGTCACGGTCAAATTAACTTTTCGCAGCTAAACCGAATACATTTTAACTCGGTTTCACGACTGAAGTCAGAACGCGATTCATTAAATTCGTATGATATGTTCAGAAGACATTTGAACTAAAACTAAATTCAAGGGACCAAAAAGAAAAATTCGTTGTAGACAAGAATTTCGATGCAATGATCCCCTATAACATTAAGAGAAAGCCGTATTGGACCAAAATATTCGATATGCAGAGAAAATAATCTGCGAAAAGATCGTTGTAAAGAGATTCAACCTGGGTCAAGTTTAGCCAGTATTATTTGGAGTTCAGACCTTCAAGTTTTTTCTTTCTTAAATTTTTCAGGTGTAAAAGCAAGGAAAAAAGTTCGAGTGATACGTGACTGTTCAACTCTCTTCGTTCGCGAGTTCGTAAGATTTCAATTTAGCGCCTGGGTTGAAGTCATCCGAGTGTAAATCTGAATTTAAAAACGAAAAACGTTTTTAAAAAAACTCCATGCTAAACTTGGAGAAAAAAGAATCACTTGAAACTCGCGCATGGATGGAGGTGGAAAACGCGCATGCAGCTCTTAAATTTTTTTTTTACCTTGATGAGATTACGAGACGGAATATTTTCTTTAGAAATCTGGAAATCTAAAATATGAGATAAGTACTGTATCTGTCTCTCTGTGTCATTTTGTGCTAGCAGCGTGGGCTTACATGACCCTACACTGAATTGCAAAAAATTGTGTGACGAAGAAGTAAGTTGCTGTGCGAAATGGATTGCGAAAAGATGCTATGCTAGTGTAAGAAATGCTACGATGAGCTGGAGCCATCGTGGAATAATTTATGAATGATGAATTATTTATGACTTCGTCAAAAATGAATTCATATGTTCCATTCACGCTTAATTAATTTCACCAAATGCTGCCCGAAGTTCACGGCTTGAATGCGTCAGTGTTTTATCTACTGTACCGATTTTCTGCAATTACAGATCATGAAAAACCATCCGAATCCTGAAGAAATTAAGCAAGCTGCTCGCAGAAAAAAGGACGAGGGGAGAAAACGGCCCCGGCCCATGGATTTGGACGTTGTTCCATCTCTGGATCTCGATGCGGCTGAGAGGAAAAAGCGACCAAAACGTGATGACTTGGAGGTCGTTGGACCCAAAGCACTGCCTTTAATCGGAGAAACAGCTGTTCCCAAATCTGGGGATTTAACCAAGTCCGCTGAAGAATATATTTCCCTTAGGCTACGCCCGGACTTCGTGTTCAAGACCGTCGCCGAAGCGCTGGCAAGTATTTTATCGACTTTCAGATTCTTCGGAGAGTCAAAACATTGGACATGGTTCAATTTTTCACGATTTCGTCTGCGTGCTAACTTCAATTGCAGTGAGTTATTTTCTAATGCGTTTTGTCTTAAATTTTCTTTGTAGACCCGATTTTCGACCCTCCAAAAGATCCCGGATGTCGGTCTGGATCCAGATTTTCCAAGGCTGGCCTCAAATGGACTGATTCGTGGGATTTCGCGACTTCTGGGCAACCAACTCGTGAAGGATTCAGTGTTTCCTTGTGACAAAGTCGCAATAGAGCGGAGAAGAAGAGAGATGAAGAAAGCCGAAGAAAAGCGGAAGTTGGAACTTGCGAAAGAGAAGCGCGAGAAAGTGCGCCAGGAAGTACCGAAACTTGCTGCGAAACCAGTCGATGCGGTAAGATTTTTTTTTAATTGAAGTTTTAGTTCTGAAAGTTTTGCTAGATTTATTCTACCAAAAATAGTCAAAGATTTTATATTTAAATCGCTGTATTACTGCACAAAAATATCACGAAGCCACCTGCCAATGCATGACTTTCTCTTTTTTCTCGTCTTTACTTACAGGTTGTGGATGACTCCACTGCAGAAGGATTAAAAAGCGTTGCAGAAAAATCTGCAGTAGCCGTGAAATCCACAGTTGCGCCAATTTCTCTAGCACAGAAGCAAAAACGTCTAACCAATGAAAGACTGACTGAGAAATCCAAGCCTATGTCGATGTCAATTGTGCTCAAGGTAAAAGCCTCCGCCTTGTCCCGGATTTCTAGTGTAGGCGACGAAACAGGAATAGCGATTCGTTCGGAATCCAGAAAGGAGTCCATGAGATCAGCTCAAAGCGAGGTTATGGCTGGTCTATCCAGCTTAATGCCTATCGAAGATGTGTTGGGTTGGGTTGTTTCATTTTTTCTCACGGATCCCGTGCGAAGAGTCGACCATGTGATCGCTTGGCTTTACAGCGAATACAGCCAGGGTCAGAGCTACAGTCCTGTTTCTGCTTCCGCTTTGAGGTACGTGATGACTTATTTCAATGATTCTGCTTCGTGGGAATGTTCTTGGACTGTGTTTTTTTTCGTGTCTGACAATTTTTCATGACTTGTCAGTTAGGTGTCGCCTGAATCATTGCAATGATCGACGGTAACTTTACTTTAAAGCCAAAATTGAATTAATGATTACGTATGTAAAAGTGGGCGACACTTGATCTGATGTCAGAGGAAATCTTGAGTCGTGCACGTCTATGTGACGAGAAACCTTGGATCTACGATATGAAACATCGAATATTACGCTTTTCAGACCACTCACTTCGAACGACACTGCGGAGATGGATAGAAAACGTTACGGAACCATCTTGACGTGGATTTTGAAGGCGATAGCTGAAAAGGACGAATTTCCAGAAAAATACGAGTAAGCTTTCAACCTGGTGTGCCCGTGTGATTACACTGTATTTGTATTGTATAGGTGAACTCTCTCTGAAACGAAATTCAGTGAAAAAAAACGTTGTTAGAAGAAATTTGTTGTAGAGAGCTCCTGTAACATGGGGAGAGAACCCCTCACTCTAGAAAAAAATCGCAGACAAAAAAGTGTGCGGAATAATTTTATCAATACTGTATCATATTCTGCTTTGAACAGTGTCATTCGACGGTTGTTCTTGGAAACTCCGTCGCTGACCGACGAAGCAGTGGCAATGCTGAGCATGATGTTCCCTGCGGATGAAGAACAAGCCGAACCCCAAGTTATAGACAATGAGGCTGACGATCAGTCTCCGGAGATTCCCAGAGTGAAACGTGTCACCCGTATGTGCGAGCTGCTGTGCGACATGATCCTGTATCGTCGCGGCACTGGGAAACACACGACTTGCTTGAGAATGTTGCTCGACTTGGCGACACATCCGACACCAACGATCCGTCAAGAAGGCCTCTCGGCTGTGATGCGTTTGGTTTCGCATTCTGACGACGCGTTTGCCGCCGCCATCGGGGAATTCGCCGTGATGTCGATAAACGCGTTGGTGATGCCCGGGGCCATTGACGGTGGTGTGAAAAATGAACCTCAGGATGAGGTGCCAGAGGAAGAAGAAGGCGGGGATAAAAAACCGGCTTTTGTCAATTGGTCGGAGGATTCTGTGAAATCCGCCTGTGGGCTTCTGTTTGTCCTGCTGCCAAGAAAAACGTCGTATCTTTTCGAGTAAGTTCCTGCTTCCGAAGGCTTCTTGTCTGATTTTTATTTACGTCTACATTCTAGGATTTTAGGGTAGTGTTGGTTTTTTTTTTCGGTGTCTTCACATTCAGTACCTTTTTGTAAGGGTTGAAATCGAGGCGACACCTGGTCGTGGTTCTTGAATTAAAAATTCGAAGAGCCGAAATAGAAAGATTGTATTTTTGAGGACTGTTGATCAAAGGACTGTTTTACTACGTACTCTTTTCAGTTTAATGCGTGTGTTTGCCGAGACGAGTCCGGAAGTGAAACGTATAATTTTGCGACTGATGGAAGAGCCTATAAAAGAGCTCGATGGAAACTCAGATGAAGTCATGGCGGTACTCGACAATATTCCCAAAGGCGGAGAAACTTTTGTGTCACGCATGATTCTATTACTAACTGAAAAAGGTAAGCTCGTGTGTTTCATAATTCGAGAAGCTTTTTGATTTGTGTAATTTTTTTGGCAGCGCAACCGAGCGAACAACTGGTTTACAAAGTGCTTGATCTGTATAAAACACGAGTGACGGACGTGCGTTTCTTGATACCCGTTGTTTCTGGGCTGCCGGAAAGCGAATTGATGGAAATCCTTCCAAAGTTTCTTCGATTGGCGCCAAATGTATTGAAAGAGGTTTTCAATCGTGTTTTGGGTGTTGCGACTTTGGAAAGACCGGAAGAACATAACCCTTCAATAACTCCTGCCGATCTGATGGTCGCCCTGCACACTATTCCGCCGTCTGCGGCTGACGTCAAGTCAATTATCAAAGGTATCGTCGTCGCGACGATGTTCCGAAACAACGACTCACTCTGCGACTGAATTGATAAATTGAAATAAATTTAATTTGAAGATGTGGCAGAAATTGATCTAGAGAAATATTCCTCCTTAGTGGGCTTCCAATCTTTTTTGCATCCCTAAAAAATGGCTCCTATTTTTTTACTTCTCTACTCTCTAGAGTGTCAGATCAGAGGTTCTAATTCATACATATTCCTGGGAATGAATTTAAAATGTCAATTTTTTTTATAGCGACCGCGCTTTGTTTTGAAATGAAAGCCGTATACACGATGGAAGTAATGGGAGAAGTGATCAAGAAGTTGGTGGATCTGGACGAAATACCCACGTTGCTCATGCGTACGGTGATCCAAGCCTTTTCATTATACCCCAAATTATCGGGTCACGTGTTGAACGCTCTTCAGCACCTCATTCAAAAAGAGGTAAAACTAACCGTTTAAATCTGGCGGTGATGTAGTTTTAATATATTTTATTGTCTTCGAAGGTATGGAAAAATCCGCGCGTGTGGGAAGGTTTCATCAAGTGTTGTCAGCGCTGTGGAGCTCCCAGTTGCGTTGTTTTAATGCAGCTGCAGGCTGAGCAATTGAAATCCGTGTTCAAGCAAGCCCCTGATCTTAAAGATTACATGTCGAGACACGTCGACTCTTTTACAGAGAACGTGAGTATCTTCCCTCGTCACTTATAATTAAGGATTGATTCAAGTCCACGATTTTTGCGTTATTTTTGTAAATAGACTAATCCAGCAGTTTAATTAAGAATTTGATTGTTGTTTTCGCTTGACGAGAACTGTCTTTGATGAAAGTTGCCTCACGATTACTTGTCCAATGCGGTATTTCCGTCACAATTCCTATGGGGCTTTTTTATTCGAGGAGTTCAGATTTTGTCTGAATCTAGCATTCAGGTTTTGGTCCCCGCATTACAAAAGACCATCAATTTCGCATTGCGACATTTTTTACGTGGAAAAAGTGATTCACGTAACGAATTTTTTCGGCCTAACAACACTCAAATTTCATCACGTTTTGAATTTAAGCTTTGGACTTTTAAAGAATTGAGGAAATAGAGTATAGTTATTTCGTATTCTTGTACTGTGTATAAAACTCGTGAAATTCAGAAAGTTTGGTGGAAGAAATTTTCAGAATTCCTGTACTTGAACTTTCTAATCGAAAAATTTTAATCCGCCATTTAATGCTGAAAAGAGTGAAAACTATCCAGATATTCTTGCTTGAGTTGTTAGCATCTTCTGGTGTGTATCTAGAACAAATTCAATAACTTAGAATGTAAACTTGAGGGAAAATGCATGTTGAAATACGAAAACTTCGAATAACGAAACGCCCCGGGAATTTATGTTTAGTTATGCGGGGACCCAGTGTTCTGTACATGTAATTGGGCAAAAAAGAAGTCACTTGTTATTGAATTGCGTAAATAATGGGAAAGAATGTTCGTGGAGACCCTTCTTGACGCAAAAAGAAACTCGTTTTCAATTGCAGAATGCTTTTGTACCGGAACCGGTCTTGGAGGCATTGTTCGGACAAAAAACGCCGAGATCCCTCGACCGTCGTGAACCTCCGCCGCCGGTAAGTTACATCATTCATTTCAGTTGTATTTGCCAAAAGGGTTCCACGAGTTCAGTGCTTCAAAATTTCTGAATTTTTATTTGGATTTTTAGGGAGCTATGGAAGCGGAAGCTTTTGCAATGCATCCAGCAACTTTGATGAACATGCGGCCTCCAATCTACGCTGGACAGGGCCTTTTTGATCCGTACCGTGGCTGAACGAAACATTCATCCTAATTTCGAAGATTTGATTCATAGTCGTGTCTCAACTTTTCTCGATATTTCTGTTGTATCCTACAAACCTTGGTTTATTTCATCGTTGAATGAATATTCTGTTTTTTCCTTGCTATGGTTTGAAAAGCCTCGGGATCCCGTTTGCTGATTTTTATTACTTCCTGAAGAACCAGTATTCTGGTATCGCGAAAGGATTTTTTTATTTATATGGTTTGATATATTGCGTCAATTCCGCATTCTTTTCTTCACGTTAGTGCGTCGATTCAAGATTCGTTGAACGAAGAATTTATTTCCTTCTCTCGTAGGAAGATTCTGTGTCGTGTGGTTTTTCTTGAAAATGAATATCCTGTGGATTGGTGAGTTGATTTGGAATCTTCGTTAAAATTCGTGTGATCGCATCGTTCATTCGCACAATCACAAAATGTCCTTAGTTCGAAGAATCTCGCTTAAAGGGGATTTATTTCAAGAACTCCTGGAAGGACTTTTTCGATTGTCTGATTTGTCTATAATGCCCTACGTTTAATTATTTGCAGGTTTTCTGGTGTTGGGAGCTTGTGTTTCCGGACAGAGGAACCCCACAATATCGTACATATCCCCCGAGAGAATCATGTACATTGGTGAAACAACGGAGATGAAGTGTAGTGTACAGTACGCTACGGGATACTCCGTACTGTGGACGAAGATAGACGAGAACCAACCTTCTGGTTCCATTCCGCTTTCCAAAGGAACCAGTTTAATCTTACCAGAAACGCGGTTTTCGTTGCAATTACAAGCAGCGAGTTCCACGTATATATTGACGGTGGGTTTGCATTTGTATCCTTGATATAGAAGATCCGCGTGTATGAGGAGGATTTTTTAAAATTTAAAGTAGACCAGGAAATGTTATCAGACGTGAAAATATTTACAGTCGAATATTAATTTTGTATCCTGGCACATTTTGAGGCAATAAACGAGGATTGCCATAAATTGAGGGTATTGTTTGGTAGGAAGGTTTAGTTCAGGGTTTGCACTTCGGGCAAAAAATTCTCTCTTACAGAATTGCTGGGCCGAAGAGTCTGCTGTATGAGAGATAAAGCAATAGGAATTAATTTTAAGCTCTAATTTACTGATTTTATATTGTACTGTATTGTAGTACATTTAATAAAACAGATAATATTGTATTTTCACTCATATTGTGTCTTTTAAAAGAGCAGGGCGGTTTATTAAAAACAAACTTGAGTTTTATATCAGGTGCCATCATGCAGCAATCACCAATGTTTTGAAGGAAACTCCCACTTCATCGATAATGAAAGGTGTTGTGCAGCAGCGAGCATTTTTTAGAATGAGAATTCAGAAATAGAGTACTTGTATTGAAATTATCGTGAGTTTTTTTTTTTTTACCCTGGGCGTGTGATTCTCAGTAAGAATCGAATGATATCACAAGAAACGGCCTCAATTTCTTTGATTTTGGTCCATTTTTTTCCATGACGAGGAATTTCTGTGGCTCTACGCGAATTGGCACTAAAGTGGGGTTTTTCTGAAGAACAAAATTGAGGGAGATTCTTTCCAGGGAAATTTTTAGCACCATGCAAGGGTGGCATTAAGTCGAGAGCTGATGGTACAGCATTTTTATCAGTTTCCATGACTTTTTTAATCTTTGGAAAAATGTGTTGGCTTCTCAAGAGCGAAACAGATGAAATTCAGAATTTATCTCAGAGGAAGAAATTGTCAATGAGGAAAAAGCTTTCGCGCAATATTTCAAGCAAATAGGACAGTTATTATGGTCAGATCATCCAAAGGAATGACTAGATCATTTTATGCCTTCCAATGTAGTTTCCCCCTCCCCTCCTACTCACAAAAAAGTACTTGGAAAAGATTAATACTTGTACTGTAATGCGGAAATCTTCATCCGTACAACTAGCGATAAGTTTTATCAAAACAGTGCGTCGAGCTGAAGCACGTCTCGCAGATGTCACGTGTCATTAATTTTTTTTTTCGAGACCAGAGCTGGAGTTCCTTCTTTTGTTACATCAAGAAATTGAGTCCGTTTCTATTTTGTTGAAGTCCGCTGTGATGATGATTTCGTGTTCCTTCTTTTCAGATCAAGGACATTCAGGAGACGGATGCCGGGATTTATCAATGCCAAGTTCTGATCTCGACCCAGAATGTGATTTCCGCGGAAGTGAAACTTTCCGTCCGACGTCCTCCAGTCATTTCGGATGATTCAACTCGTTCCGTTGTCGCGACCGTCGGCGAAAACGTGCAGCTGGAGTGTCGAGCCACGGGTTACCCGACCCCGAATATCTTTTGGCGACGACAAAATAATGCCTTATTGCCCACGGGAGGAGCAATTTACAGTGGAGAGGTTCTGCAAATCAACTCCGTTACGAAGGACGATCGTGGCACTTATTACTGCGTCGCTGAAAACTATGTTGGGAAAGGCGAGTTTTTGACGAATTTTGAAAAAATGTTATTTGCGATGAACGTCTTCCGTCTTGTGATTGTTCATGGGTACGGGTGAGACAATTGAAAGTTGTTGGCGCAACAGTTCGTTCAATAGATTCCCCAGAAGCAAGACGGGTTATTTCTGTTCCAAGTACAGAAACTCTGGATACACACGCGCAATTGAAGAAATATTTTATAAAGCAAAAATAAATGATGAAAAAACGCTGAAAAACTGGGGATACTTTGTTTTTGGGTAGGTGTTACAGTGTAAGAGCTGTTCGAAATAATGTATGCCGTTGCTCGTGTTATGTTTCAACAATTTTTGGGGAAAGCACGGTAATCTGTTTCTCTCTCCCCTCGGGCATTTATTCAAATGAAATGGCCAGAGAGATGAAAACTTCCCTCCTGTGCCTCTGATATCGTTTCATTTGACTAAAATATGTTTTACGTCGCGATGATTATTAGTTTTTTTAACTGACGGACGATTTAACGCTTTTCCGCTTTACGAAGATTAATTGAAATCTATCGTGAAATTGTTTGGGTGGAACCGCGATTTTGAAAGCTTCAAATGTTCAGTTATTTTTTTTCTTCTTCTTATAGGTGCGAGAAGAAACGTGGCTCTTGATGTAGAATTCGCTCCAGTCATCACGGTTTCACGTCCACGAGTTGGCCAGGCTCTGCAATACGACATGGATTTAGAGTGTAACATTGAAGCTTATCCCCAACCGGCTGTTACCTGGCTCAGGGATGGTTTCCAGCTTTCAAACAATCAGCACTACATGTAAAATGCATTATCTTGCTGCTTTCCGTTGTCAAATTTGACTTCAATGGTCAACTGATCATATATATTTCAGGATAAGCCACTTTTCGACTGCAGACGAGTTCACGTCGACGACGCTGAGGGTGCTTTCGATTGAGAAGAAGCAGTACGGGAAATTCCAGTGTCAGGCTGCGAATAAATTTGGGATTGCCTCCGCGACTGTCGAGCTCGTTGGTAAGAGAGATCTTGTTTTATTTCATCAACTGATACTCGAAAGGCTAACATGTATACCTCTTTTCTTGTCGTGAATTTTGTGGTTAACGTCGTTTACGGGAAGATTAAGTCATAGTCACCTGCGGATTTTTTTCAATCTTGATTCGCACATCATGAATTCTCTTCGCAGAAACTGTGATTCCTGTGTGTCCTCCTGCTTGTGGGACAAATCAGTACAGCAGTGGAAGTGAACCAGTTGGAGGAGTCAACAAGTTGTGGCACATTTTCAGCTTTTCCTCAGCAGCGTATTTTGCGGCAAGGTCCATGTGTCCAGCTTGAAGAGAAGAATGAGGAAATTTTGCGTTTGCACTTGTTACAGCCATCCTTTTGATGCCATCCTTGTGCTTACTGCTTGGAGAGCTGTAAGTTAGTTTTTTTTTTATGCCAGGTTATTTTATTTGCCTACGGTTCTTAGTACTTGGAGCGACTTCGTTGAAGGTCTCAGATTTTTTGTCTTTGATACGAGGTATTTTTTCACGGGCTATAGAGGATAGGAGAAGAAAATCGGAGAACTTTTTCAACGACGTTCATATCGGAAAGAACCTTTGGAGGACCATTTTATGCACACGATACGTGCTTAGACATGCCCTAGTTTTACTTGGCATTAAATGAATGTTGAGAATTTTGTTACTTTTATGATGTGACATTTTTATGACGTTTGAAGTTGCTTAGGCGTAATCGGGAATATCAGCGGAATATTTTACGGAGTGCTGTAATCGTGAACCTGTGTGAAAAGAAACAATTTTTTCATCACGCGAATTTGAAGAATGTCTTCGAGCAACGAATCCGTCCCTAAATTTTTGCGGGTTGAAGAAATGAAAATTCCATGTGGATGAGCACTCCGACGAATTATTCATGTCCGAAGTTATCTTGTAATGAACGTTGAATATACGTGTTTCATACAAATTGTTAGGATTAATTGTATTCTAAAAAATTTTCCAACGCATTCCCCGCCGTAAAAGCATTTCTCAGCTCTATAGATTCGAGAAATTAAGCATTTCACGCATACAAATTTCGGAACCTTTTCGAACTTGATATCATCACTTCCAAATTTTTAATGCACATAATTGATTGCGTCTGGCAATTGATCAGAAATACGACTGGAGAAGGCTTGTTTTTTTTATTGAATAACTTGTTAATTATTTTTAATGAATTATTAATCTGTACTGAAGCCTTGTAATAAATTGTAAAATACTGTATTATCGAACCTGAAAACACTGTTGTGTGAAAAAATTGAGGTTATGAGACAGTCGGTGCTTTTTTCCCGTGATCAATGTTACCTAAACTTGATGGGCAGTAAATTTGACGAAGTAGTGAAAAGCGGGAAGTTATGCATAGTCTTCTAATTTGATCTGCTGATCTAAAATTCTCCTTCCTCTCTGAAATGACGGACAGATCGTAGAAACTTAGCACTCCGTCTTTCTACATCTGCAAAAATCGAAGGAATGAGATTGGAGTTCAGCTTTAGAATACTTCTTCGGGTTTACTTCGCAAGTTTTTCAGTGAAGTTCTGTTCGTTGCCTTGGACATGCGGTAGCTTATGGCCTAATCTATAGAAGGTTCCGGCTGAAGTCCAGGTAATAACTTGTTTCATTCTACCGAGTTTTGTTTTAAATGTGTTTATTCGTGCCGAATTTGGAGTGTTCCGAGTTTGTCTAGTCTGTGCTGTCACGTATGTTCCAGTTTCAGAATTGTGCTCAGTATTATCCTTTCAGGGATGCTTGGTGAGTTCTAAGCGTCGAAATATCTTACAGCGAAGTTTACAAGAATTCATCGTTGTTATAATTTAAGGTGTCTTCATTTTTTTGGTTCATTGCCTTGAGATTAGTCTCATAATTTAATTTTCAGTCTCATTCGATGATAATTTTGTGAGGCAACTTAAAAATACTTGAAGTTGTTGCGTATCCTCCATTCTGTGTTCGGTATTTTGGGTGGAAGTAATTTGAAATTCCTTCGTTTATTTCTCGTATATTTTGACCGAAAGTTGAGCAAGATCTTGCAATCGATACTGCTGTCTATAATATGATAATGATTAAAGGTCTTGAAGTTCTGCCTTCCATTTGATTAATTTCAAATATCTTAAATTCGCGAAAATATTTGCTGCCATCATTGAATCCAGAAGAGTAAATTGCACTAAAACAGGGAAAACTAAAATTCATAATTGAAATTTGAGAAAGCACCGGACAAGTTTAAATGGTTATAATTTTTCTGGACAAGTTAAATTCACTTAAAAAATCGAAGTTGTGTTCCAGTCGTCAATGCAAATACAGTATTCCTCATGGCTTGATGAGATACAGTACAGTACTGTGCTTGCAGTTGCCAATCCTGTGAACTTTTTGATCCACCCTTTGATACAGTACACTGTTTCAGGCTTATTTGGAGTCACTTTGCAATTACTCTCGAATTTGTCAGGTTAATTGATGCTATCATGATTTATTTTCCCCGAGGTCTAATTTTTCTGGACCATCACCTGAGCTTCAGATCTCCGGTCAACATTGCCGTTTGCTGAGCCAAAGATTCGCATCTTATTCAAGTGCCAATGGCGTGATTTTTTATAGAGAATACGATTTGCGAATGAGGAGTTGGAAGCGATTATACGGCACTCCGTACAAACGATCAGCCAAGGATAGTAGAAAGAAATTCCGCCCGAGATGTTCAGGAATTTTTTGTGCATGTTACAATTTTGGTTTTTGTGACGACAATGATGGCGTTTACAAGTGAGTCGGTTAATGTACAGCTTATGCATGAAAAGGTAAGTAAGTTCTTGGAAAAAGAAGAGAAAGATGAAGAGGGAAAAAAAATGAGAAAAATCTTTGAAAAAGGATGTCCTGTAACTAATGAAGAAATACAATCGGTAGTTCATAAATTAGGAAGAACTGCGGATATGTTTAATATGGATAGTATAGATAAAGAGTATAAAGAATTTTTAAATATATATGGATCTCTAGATGGTGGAGGCTTTGATATATATGGACCTAGTGAATGTATTAGTGATAGTGGAGATAAAATTCAAGAGGTATTATCAATTCAAAAAGGATTTGAGAATCGTTCTAGAAGGAGTAAAATGAAAGCAGAAAAAGTAAAATCGTGTTGGTTAATAGCAGGGATAGATCAAGGTGACGAATATTATATCAATTTGTCTGGGAAGAAGAAAGAGAATATATATGCTATGAGTCCTAATGGTAAATCTAAACTTTTTGCTAAAGATTTTTTAGAATTTTTGGATAAGTTCTTGGAAGCTTATGAAAGAAAATCTGAAGAAGAAGCTTATCAGAAAGAAGCTTATGAAGGGGAAGACTCTAATTCCGATTAATATATTTACTTCCTTGGATTGACAATGTTTGTAACTGGACAGACCCTTGTAGGTACCTTATAGATATGTATCTGTTTAAAAAATGGTATCAACTTAAGAAAAAATTTTAGCAGCTGCTGCACAGCGAAGCATATAGAAATATCTGATTAACATTATATTTTGTACCTGTTTAGTCAATCATACCTTATCGAGTCAACCGAGGGTCTTACCTCAGTTGCTCACGGATCCGTAGATGAGCTTCTCAGTTCATACGGCTCTTTGTGAAAGTACGCTTATCATATACCAATGGGCAAAAAGTATCTCACATCTGCTTCTGATGTTTTTAAGCTCCGACCAGGCCTTGCCTAGTTGTGGCTTTTTCATCTTCTGCTTGATGTATTGCAGCGGTAATCCAATAAATTGGATAGTTTATAGAGTTCACTTGTATGACTATGTTCATAGTAGTTAATCCCACATTTCGCACCTTTTAATGAATTGATTGTAAGTCTATTATTAAACAGGTCACTTCTTGAATATTGCGTTACACTATTTGATTATCAGTTATAAAAAATTATACCAAGGCTCATTTTTTAAAAATTTTCACTACAGTTTTTCTAAAATATACTCATTTTCAATTATAGTATCGGTGCGGAATGTGGGGCTAATCCATCCCCTGCTGATCTTATTGATCTTGTCTGCTACTGCTTCTATAGGCAGGGGACACATGGATCCGATCCGAATTTTCTGGATTTTCTTCCTAATCATTAATAGCGCTCCCTGACCCATGCCTGGGGTGAAGACTATCTGGCTGAAATATTTAGCATTCCTTTAAAAAAAAAGCAGCTTGTGTTATTCTAATCCACAACTATCCATCAGGTAATCTCAAACCATCTGATGCAGATTTAGATATTACCGATCGTTTGTATCAAGTAGATAAATGGATGCGTACAGAAGTATTAGACCATTTGATTATATCCTCACATAGCTATTTTTCCTTTAAAGATGCAGGCTTGATGGATCAATTCTTTTTAAGTAAGAAATATTTACCAAGCTTTGAGTTAGAAAAGCGCTTTCAGCAAAAAGCAGAAATGGCTCGAAAAGAAGTAGATAAACAGAGATTAGCTATTGAAAAACAATTGAAACGAGAGAGTCTGAAACAGGGTAGAGAAGAAGGTGTAAAAGAAGAAAAACGTTCTATAGCTAAGAGAATGCTTAAAAAAGGATTGGATGTCAGTGTTATTATGGAAGTTACGGGTCTTCCTAAGGTCACCATTAATAAATTAGACCTCTTGCATAACCATTAATTTACCAATTCCCAATTATACAAACTGGCAATTAAATTGAATCTTAAACCAAACCGTTTTCTTCTATTTCTGTATTTATCAGCTATGATTTTAAAACCTGACATTTCGCTCAAATTACACTAGCTTTTTATTTTCCCAGTTTTGAGATTTTTTTATTCAGTCCCGAGAGTTTTTTTAGATCTATATTTATGGATATGCCAAGTTAATTTTTCCTTTAGCGTAGTATTTTGGCTCAAAACAAGCATTTTTAGAGCAAAATATAAGCATAGATAGACTGCCGATCAAAAATCTTTTTCATTGTAGATATTTCAGGGCCGACTATATTACACAAGACTTTCTAGGCTATCTTTTTCAATTAGATTCGTCCAATGTGTGTAGAATAATCAAGAGAATAGAGCTTTTTCGGCTCAGATTTTGTATCCGTTCAGGTGAATGGTTTTAAGCAAATATTTGCTGCAATTCTTGGAAAGGATTTAAGTTTTGTTGTTTCCAAGTTAGATACAAAGAGATGATGCGTTCTAAAAACCTATTACCACGTTCAGATTGGGTAAAGTAGGAATTTTTGTGGTATACCACATAATGCCTGATCTGTCTTTCGGCATGATTATTCGTTAACGGAAGTAGTTTAAGTGCCAAATACTATAAAGATGGTATCATTAAGTTGCAAGGTTATCAAAACAGATACGCGGAAGTTATGTCACCATTTGGATTGGAACGTGGCATAGAAAGTAAGTTAACCGGTAGAAAGCATACCACCTCAAAAGAATACTGTAAAAGTGTCAATAAAATTGAAAGGGAAGTAGAAAAAGAAACTAAATACATAAATACATTAAACCTTTTTCATCGTGAGAAAGCTAAAGAGGAGTTAGAAAAAGTACAAGCTAAGATGCGTTCTCTAGTAGAAGAAAATGTACGTCTTAAACAGGATATTACCTACACACAAAATACCCATAAAACGCTTGTATGGAATCGTATAAAAGGTGATTTGGAAAGAGTGAAGCGAGAAGTTAATTTGATTCAACATGCTGCTTCTATGGGTTATGTTCTGGATAAGGAAAAGAGCTCTAAAACCTGGGCTGTTATGGAAAAAGAAGGTGACAAAATCCTCATTAAAAATGGGCCTAATCAGAATGGTCACTGGATGTACAAATCTCGAGTAGATGATCAAGAAAAAGGGACTATTGTAGATTTTATGCAAAAACGTGGTTTTAGCTATCAAAGTATTTGTGGATTAGCTAGCACACACTTAGATG